ATGAAACAAATCCTGCAAACACCTAGACAGGTACAATACACATAAGATATATACCATGAGGCAAATCACACAAACACCTAGAGAGGTACAATACACATAAGATATATACCATGAGACAAATCACAAACACCTAGACAGGTACACACATAAGATATATACCATGAGGCAAATCACACAAACACCTAGACAGGTACAAATACATATAAGATATATTCCATGAAACAAATCCCACAAACACCTAGACAGGTACAAATACACACAAGATATATACAATGAAACAAATCACAAACACCTAGACAGGTACACACATAAGATATATACCATGAGACAAATCACACAAACACCTAGACAGGTACAAATTCACACAAGATATATACAATGAAAAAAAATCACAAACACCTAGACAGGTACACGCATAAGATATATACCATGAGACAAATCACACAAACACATAGACATGTACAAATACACATAAGATATATACCATGAAACAAATCACACAAACACCTAGACAGGTACAATACACATAAGATATATTCCATGAAACAAATCCCACAAACACCTAGACAGGTACAAATACACACAAGATATATACCATGAGACAAATCACAAACACCTAGACAGGTACACACATAAGATTTATACCATGAGACAAATCACATAAACACTAGACAGGAACAAATACACATAAGATATATACCATGAAACAAATCACACAAACACCTAGACAGGTACAAATACACATAAGATATATACCATGAAACAAATCACACAAACACCTAGACAGGTACAATACACATAAGATATATACCATGAAACAAATCACACAAACACCTAGACAGGTACAATACACATAAGATATATACCATGAGGCAAATCAAACAAGCACCTAGAAAGGTACAAATACACATAAGATATATACCATGAAACAAATCACACAAATACCTAGACAGGTACAAATACACATAAGATGTATAACACGAGACAAATCACAAACACCTAGACAGGTACAATACACATAAGATATATACCATGAGGCAAATCACACAAACACCTAGAAAGGTACAAATACACATAAGATGTATACCATGAGACAAATCACAAACACCTAGACAGGTACAATACACATAAGATAAATACCATGAAACAAATCACACAAACACCTAGAAAGATACAAATACACATAAGATATATACAATGAAACAAATCACAAACACCTAGACAGGTACAAATACACATAAGATATATTCCATGAAACAAATCCCACAAACACCTAGACAGGTACAAATACACACAAGATATATACACTGAAACAAATCACAAACACCTAGACAGGTACACACATAAGATATATACCATGAGGCAAATCACACAAACACCTACACAGGTACAAATACACATAAGATATATACCATGAAACAAATCACACAAATACCTAGACAGGTACAAATACATAAGATATAAACCATGAGGCAAATCACACAAACACCTAGAAAGGTACAAATACACATAAGATATATACCATGAAACAAATCACACAAATACCTAGACAGGTACAAATACACATAAAATATATTCCATGAAACAAATCCCACAAACACCTAGACAGGTACAAATACACACAAGATATATACAATGAAACAAATCACAAACACCTAGACAGGTACACACATAAGATATATACCATGAGGCAAATCACACAAACACCTAGAAAGATACTTATACACATAAGATGTATAACACGAGACAAATCACAAACACCTAGACAGGTACAATACACATAAGATGTATACCATGAAACAAATCACACAAACACCTAGAAAGATACAAATACACATAAGATATATTCCATGAAACAAATCGCACAAACACCTAGAAAGATACAAATACACATACGATTTATTCCATGAAACAAATCACACAAACACCTAGACATGTACAAATACACATACGATATATTCCATGAAACAAATCACACAAACACCTAGACAGGTACAATACACATAAGATGTATACCATCAAACAAATCACACAAACACCCAGAAAGATACAAATACACATACGATATATTCCATGAAACAAATCACACAAACACCTAGACACGTACAAATACACATACAATATATTCCATGAAACAAATCACACAAACACCTAGACAGGTACAATACACATAAGATAAATTATGATATATACCATGAGGCAAATCACACGAACACCGTGACAGGTACAAATAAACAAAAGATATATACCATGAGGCAAATCACACAAACACCTAGACAGGTACAAATAAACAAAAGATATATACCATGAAACAAATCACACAAACATCTAGAAAGGTACAAATACACATAAGATATATACCATGAGACAAATCACAAATACCTGGACAGTTACAATACACATAAGATATATAACCTAAGGCAAATCACAAACACCTAGACAGGTACAAATACACATAAGATATATACCATGAGACAAATCACACAAACACCTAGACAGGTACAAATAAACAAAATATATATACCATGAGGCAAATCACAAACTCCTGGACAGGTCTGCAAATTAACACCTACCAAATCAGTTGTTAGTGGCAATTTTTCTTTACTTGTTTCAAAATACCACATATTATTTATTGTAGTAATTAAACCATTTTTTAAGACGTTTCTGCCACTGACCTTTTTCGGTTTCTTTATTATCATTCTTGAAGTTGTCACCAAGCTGTGACAATTCTTGCTTTACCAAATATAAACAAAAATATTAATGCAATATCCAAGTTGTTGCTAATGACCCAAAGATATCATGATCTATGCCTAGGGTATTATCTGGAATGTCACTGTCTAATGACCCAAAGATGTCATGACCTATGCCTAGGGTATTTTCTGGAATGTCACTGTCTAATGACCCAAAGATGTCATGACATATTGCATAGGGTATTTTCTGGAATGTCACTGTCTAATGACCAAAAGATGTCATGACCTATGCCTAGGGTATTTTCTGGAATTTCATGGTCTAATGACTCAAAAGATGTCAAGACTATGTCTAGGGTATTATCTGGAATATCACTGTCTAATGACCAAAAGATGTCATGACCTATGCATAGTGTATTATCTGGAATTTCAGTCTAATGACCCAAAGATGTCATGACCTATGCCTAGGGTATTATCTGGAATGTCACTGTCTAATGACCCAAATATGTCATGACCTATGCATAGGGTATTATCTGGAATGTCACTGTCAAAGCTATTATATGTATTGAGATGGTGTTTAGGTCATACTTTATAGTTTTATGTTTTGATACAAGTGATATTTCAAAGGAATGTTGCTCATAGTCAAAGTGTATGTCATGACAAGAACAGCTTTTGGAAGCAAAGGAATTTGATTTTGACAAGATTCATGAATGGAATATCTTATATAACTCAAATTTAGGACTATGAAAGGTGCAGCATGTTTACATTGGAAAGTTAAACAATTATATACTAAAAAGTATTGTGCAAAGTCTTTTCACAACTGGATGCAGAATAAATAAGTCAATATACCATATAAAACTACAATTTTCAGTGCTTTTACCTCTAATAGCTTTGAATCTTAAGCACTATCATAAATCTGATTAAAAAGTACAGAAAGAGGTTTCCATATGGAAGTATTTTAGGTTTTTTTAATAGATTTTGATTAAAATCTTTCCACAATTTGCTTAATAGTAAACAAGTGAAGTAAACAGTGACTGATAAATAGAACATACAATCTGTTTCAAGGCAATCTTAAAATAATACTTCTATAATTAAATTACATGAGGAAAATAAATGTCCCATATTTCTTCAAAACTCATTTATTAGACATTCATTAACAGGTTTTACATGTCACAAAACTATCTCATTCATAACACAACCATACAACTTCCGTTGATGACATTAATTTGTTCAAAAATACATTCATGTATACCATTTCAAACTTTGAATGAAATATCAGAGAAGATTACAATTATTTTTACAGTGAAAATCCCCTATCAAAAGATAAACAAAAGTTATTTAATAGAAGCAAACGTCTTCAATATTATTGCAATACTTGGTATTTGATAATAAAAATATGTGGCTACAAATACTTTTCAGTTATGGAGTGACTGACTATGGATTTTGGAATAACTTGCAACATCCTTTTGTCCATCATTTCATGTTTTTAATATGTTTACCTTTTTCAGATCATGTGTAATATTTTGAGCAATGTTCACCACCTGATCCTTTATAAAGTTAGAAATCATTTAAAAAAATTCCAAGAAATTTTATGGTCATTATGTACACTAGGAACTGACCAACAAAATAACAACTCTAAGATAGGGTTTAAATTATATCTAAGGAGTTTCTATGTTATCTTGATTTTTTCAATTTATGTTAATATATATCCAAAAGCATCCCAAAGCCAATATATAAACTACATGAACTTATTATAAATATTATCTTTTAAATTTAAAACTGTAATAACTTCCCCCTCTCCCCACAAAAAAAAAATAAATATATATATATATATGTTGTGTACAAGATGTAAGTTTGTACAAATTATAATTTGTACAGGGTTTTTGTACAAGTTATAAGTTTTTTGTCACATACTGTTTTGCACCAGGTGATAAAAGTTTATCTTCTAAAATTTATCAGTTAAATTTCTTAAATTCAAATTAATATACTTCAACCTAACATTTAGAACTATTTTCCTTGTCCTAAAACTGGAAACAAGGATTCCTGAATGGTTTAAATTCTTTTTTTATTTTTCTCCTTATACCAAAATTATATCCATAAAAAGTCTTTTTGAGTTCTTATATTTTTTTTTGTATTAATGCTCAGTATAAAACTGTAGCATTTGGTCATGGAAATATGACAGAAATATGCGAAAAAAAGACTGAGTACTTGTATGATCCATTTGTGTTAAGCAATTCATAAAACACTGATAACTTGTACAAAAAATCTGCACAAATTATAATTTGTACAACCTTACAATTTGTACACAACATATATATTACATATATAAAAGTGTGAAAGACATACAATATTACTGTATATTGTATAATATTTAATAAGATGGGAATACATGGATCAAAAATAACTTATCTTAGTCAAGCAGATGCTATATCTGGCATCTACTATGAGAAGAAAAACTGACTTTTGTGATTTTGAATGTGGACTATTCTAGGACTTTTCAAAGAAAGTTTAATTCTATATTGTCAAAAAGATTCAGACATGAAATTTAAAGGCCAACAGATAATCTGGTAGCCATCCTGAATGACAGTCCAGTCTGAAGAATATGGCTTTGATAGTGGAAGTTCAAGGACTGTTCCAATAGTTTGGTGCAAATTGGCATAATGGTGTCAGATAAAATTATGAAAATGTGTAATTTTTACTGTCTAAAGGGTAGTGACATATGCCAAAAAATGGCAACAGCCAACATTTGCCTTTTGGACCAATCAAGCTAAAGGCAATACAAATATAAGTTCACCTATGATACATTTAAACAACAAAAAAACAAATGAAGTACCAAAATACTAAAAAATGATATTATGATTAAGATTAATTACTTCTTTCATCAGACCATGGGATGGTATCTTCAGTACATCCATCCTAAATACCCATTTCTGTATCTTTTTACTTTTCAATACTATAAAAAGAAATTTCCTGCTTGCAATTTTGGAGTTGCGATGCTTAAAATTTACCTTTATAAATAATGAATAGTAAGACTGACATGGTTACCTCCCTTTGACAAATAAAACAGGACAAAGACTAATATTGAGCAATGAAAATAATACAATATCAAATATATGACATATTTAAATATTAATAACAAATAAAGAATTACATAACGTGGAAAATAGGATAAGTTGAACATAACTATCAGGACAATGTAATTTGTTTGGTTTCTTTTTATCTTAATCTTTTTGAGAGGGGATATTTCATAGATATGAATAGCATATAATTCTATTATTCATTCACCATTTATTTGGCTTCTGCAAATTTAAATTACTTAAACGTGCCATTTCACACCTAGATCCTGATATCCATATCAGATTTAGCTTTTAACGTCAAGATATGTTAGGGTCTGGATAGGGTTTACAGAATAGAAAATAATGGCAAATAGTTCAAAATGAAAGGCAAAATTTATAAAAAATATAGAAAAATAGGCAAAAAAATAGAGAATATAATGGGGTACTTAAATATAAAGAATAGAGAAAATGTTCTAAAAAGTTAAAGAATAAAGAAATGAAGGTCTCCCCATCCAGACCCTCATATGTCTTTGATTAATGAAGTACAGATAACAAGAAATATAAAAAGAATAAAACAAAGTGTGAATAAAAAGACTTCCAATGTTGTTCAAGGAATTTTTGTGTGTCATAAAGTATATTTAGCGCATAAGTCAGGGACCAACCTAAAAAGAGATAAAAGTTTAAAATAATTTTGTAAGCCATTGTGGGAATCAGCAAATGAGAAAAAAGGAAAAAAACAAGGAGTATATATTAAAGTGATTTTCCTCCTAAGATTGTGCATTCTGATATTTTTTTTAAATACAGGAGGGAAAAATGTAACATAAAATAATGTCCCCCATGAAATATTGTCTGCCAGATAAAATTTCATAGAAAATAATGTCTGCATACAATATTTTATAATGAAATATTGTCCAGGACAATATTTCATTATGAAATAGTGTCCCTCTTTATAAAATTGTGTCAGGTTCTTTGGGTCAATTTTTCTCGGAAAAATAATGTCCCTGACAATAATATTTAAATGTGCCCATGAAAATATTTCTTATAAAATTAAGTCTTCCCTGAGGAATCTTCTCCATGAAATTAAAAGAGTATTTCTGGAATCTTTGAGATATTGTTTTTAAAAAGTATGTGTGTACACTTGAAAGGCTACATCAAAAAATTCTCATCTATAGTACACAAGCATGAAGTATGCACATTTTTATATTCATAACTGAAAGGCAAGTATTCTATATATATATCAAACAAACATATTTTATCAGAAGCTAATTTAAAAATTTGCATTTATAAATGATTATTAAAGTCAAATGTGTTAATAGTACCATATTACACTGTTTAAATTCCTTGTATAAGTAATGTACTGACAATCACTTATAATATATGTCTGTTATTATCAATAAAATAAAACACTTTATCATATCATTTTCCAAAAATATTTTTACACAAAATATAACTCTGGATTACCTCCCCTTAATGAGACAAAATTTCATTACTTTGATCTATCAATCTATGAAATATTTTCCAAAATAGACAAAATTTCATATTTCTTTTTTTTCATAGATACGGACAAAATATCATGATATATAATCATGAAGTATTGTCTTGGTGGACAATGTTTCATAGGACAATATTTTGCTTTACAAAAATACAGGATTGGTAAAAATATTCCTAGTTATCTCCCTTCCATTGCAATTTTAGTTCACCCCTGCTGCTCTATTCTGAACAAACTGTCGATATATCAATGTCACATAAATAGCTAGCAATAAAATAATGAAGAAATCATCAAGAAATCCTAAGACACCAAACACAGCTTCTGGTATTATGTCTAACGGTGAAATAAAATAAAGTAAGGCAGCAAGAAAACACACAATCACACGTAAACGAAACATCCAAATTAATCCTCCAACTGTGAAAAATTCATTGTAAGTATGTCTAAGTAATGTTGGCAGGTCTCTTATATAGTCCATCAGCTGAAAATAGAATAGTAAAATCATATTATTCTGGGTATGGCTCTGTTGAGAAGAGAGATTATAAATATACAGTAAAATCATCAATAACATTTATTTACTCTAGATTCTAATGCTTTTGATTTTAAGAAAATATTTCATTTCCTGGTCCTTTGATGGATTTAAACTTCTAGACTAATGCATTAACCAGTGATTTTCACTCAATTTGAACTTTTAACTAACTAAATAAAGACTTAAACTAAGAGTTACTTCCACTTACAGGGCGAGGAGCACCAGAAAATCGTCTGTTATATTCATTAACTCTTGTTGAAACATTTCTCTTTTCTTCTGTTTGGTTATTAATTTCTTCTGGTGTAAAATTCACCAGCAGAAGTGTTACCTGAAAATATATTAACCAATAAAACTCTCAAAGGTTCATCAATTTGACAACATTCTTCAGAACAAAAAGGTATATATATGGGCTTAACTTCATCTGTTAATTCAACAATTTTGTTTTTAAATTGTGTGATGCAATATTCATCAAATACATGAATTTTTCTGACTGGAACACATGTATAATTCAAATATTCATATGTGAGTTCAACTAGTCATTCAGAAAATTTGATGCAAAAATGTATGAGAGCATGTGTCTCAACAAAGTGGTTAGAGTATGTACTTGTCCTTGACCTTTCGTCCCAAAAATCAACAGAGATTTTGAATGTCATCTGACACAGCACTTATGAAATTAGATATTTACATACAATAGACCAACTGTTTTGAGTTATTATTGTTAGTGAATGGAAGGAATAAGAGTGGTTACTATAATACCTAAGCCCGTAGAAGATAAGACAAGAACAAAATACACTGTTACTTATATCCACTTCATTTGGACTAATTTGTTAAATAGTTGTCTCATTGGCAATCATACCATATATCCTTATTCTATATCTAAAGTGGTTCACAAATCTGAATTTTAAAAACATTTTAATTTAGAATCAGATGCTTCTGTTTGTAGTTTTATTTGGGTTTAGGCTTGCAATGATCCCATATACCAAATATTGTTTTTCTATTACTCATAATATGTTAAGTGAGAAATTCACACTACAGTTTTTATAAGCAGTTCTGAACCATGAAAATGGGGTCAAGGGCAATGGACATATGATGGATGGAAACCTCACAACATAAGCCATCTGTATACAATGTATGAATCATCCAGGTCTTCTACATCTGAAATATAAAGCTTTATACCACTAGTTTACACTGTCGCCATGCCAGATAAGTATTCCTATGACTCACATTTTTTAATAAAGTTAAACAATCAGTGACCAGTATCTCTCCTGAATATGCAAGAAATATTAAATGATATGTCTTTAGCAAACACAATCAACCAATCTACCTAAAGGTGAGAAGGATCACTGAGGAAGTTCTAATCTAAAGATGAAACATTTGTCCATTCAAATTTTACTTGAGAGAATAGAGTTTTCAGCTAAAGATAAGAGAAGACCTTTTGTCTATAGAAAAAAGTATTTTGACCATTCAGGGTTTAAACAAAAGAATCAGGAACCTTTATCCTTAAGGTGAAACCTTGAACTTCATTCAGATCTTAATTTTAGAGATAGGAACCTTTAACCTTAAGGTAAAGCCTTGGTCTTTATTCAGATTTTAATTTTAGAGTTAAAATATAGGTTAGAAAGTCTTTGACCTTTAACCTAAAGTAAGGAGAATTAGAGACTATTTAATCTAATCCTTGTGTTTTAGCAGAATTAAAATTGAGTTTGTGTATCAAGTTTATCAAAGAGCTTTAAAAAAGTAAACAGCCATGAGCCATTATGGAATAAAATGATTGTTTACCTGCTGCCTACAGACAGGACAAGCTATAGCTCCCAACCATCTACTACCATGCTGCCAATAAGTTACTATACAACGACCTGAAAATAATAAAACACAATTCATGTCAAATATCACTTATTTCCTGATCACCTTGGTAGTGAGCATAATATTGGTCAAACATATATCCTCAACCAAGTTTGGGAAGAATTAAGTCATGTTTCATAAAACAGTTTCCACAGAGGAAAACAGATTACTGTATATTGGGTTATTTCTGTGTCAGGTTTTGTTTGTTGTTTGAGCAGTTTTTTGTTTTGCAATTTACAGACTTGTTCTATGCATTTAAAGGGACAGTGAAATTTGTGAATTTTGAAGTAACACGAACAAAGTGAAAATCAGACTCACACAAAAATTTCTAAAAGTAGAGTATGTATAAGTAGCTCATGTCTTTTTATTCCTGTACACTAATTGTTTTGTTATACAACAAAGTACAGATCTTGTTAAAGAACTTTAAGTGAGCAAGCTTTCATGCCCCTTGCTCCCATGTAAATTTTAATCTTTTATAGTAACATAATTTCACACACTTCTGTTCTTACATTTTGTAGTGAGTTGGCCAAGTGACTTGAAAATCAATAGGGATCTTCCTCTTCACCCTCATATCGTATGTGACCACATATCCAAGTATGGTTGCAATCCCATATAATGTGTCCTGAAACTATGTACTTTTCTGCACAAATTTCATTCTTCTTTAAGAAACTTTTACCTTGACCTAAGACAAATTAATATCAAAATCAATAGGGATCTTTCTAATTAAACGTGACCATGTAACCCAGAAAACTTGCAATCCCATATGCAGTATTTGACTAAGCATCTGGATTCACTTCTGTCTATTTTTAATAACTATGACCTTTACCTTTGAGGATATTGACCACACAATGGATAGAGATATATATGTGACAATATATCCAAGTAAGGTTGCAATCCCATGTGTAGTATTTGATTTAGCATCCAGAAACAACTTTTTTGAACACATTTCAGTATACTTTTAGTAACATAGACCTTGACCTTTTACATGGTGACCTCAAAATCAATAGGGATCTTCCTCTCATTATAAGTGACCATTTAATTATATCTAAGTAAGGTTGCATTCCAATTTAAAGTACCAGAATTTGATTAAGCACATGGAAATAAAAATGACTGACAGACCGACTGATGGATGGGTCAGATACTATATAGAGCATTGTCGGGTATTTTCGACCGGAGGCAGTTTTCGACCACCTTACATTTTGGGAGCTATTTCATGCACGTGAGGCGTTGTTTCCGCATCCTTTGCACTTGCAGATCTGCAGAAATAAATATTTGTCTTGGAAGGCTAGGTTAGCTGCAATTCACGCAAAGAAGTAGTAAGTTACACAATTTATTAGAGTTGTCATGGAACTTCTCGCCATGATAAAAACAAATATTACGACATGTGTTAAAAAATAACTTTCTTTCAACAAATGATTTCAGTAAAAACACCTACAGTTCAAGCATGCAAACCTAATGACACTGTTCGCTAAACTCCTGAGAATAAAAATGAACACATAAATGAATATAATGACGTATTTTTAAAAATATCTTCCCGATAATCAACTACTAACCCTTACATACATATTTCGCCTATTTTCGACCAGTCTTAAATTTTTTTGTTACTATGGATGCTTTGTTTGTTTACGTTTTTCAAGGCTAGCGTGACGTCACAATATAAATCACGTAACGAAATCTGGCACCTTGTAGTGACAATGTCATCGTCAGAAGGACAATGTTATCGTAATAGGATACACTGTGATTTTATATTTTTTTACTAGCTGAAATTTATAAGAAAATCGAAACTTTTTTGAAATGAGCTTCAGATTAAAGAAAATTATTTGAGCAATAAGATCAAAAGGCAGTCTGCTTTTGAAAGATATTGTATAGTCCAAAATAGTTTTGTTTCCTCTCGAAATCATAGCAATCTGTCTACGTGTCAAGAGAAAAACCGAAGACGCTTATCCTACCTGAAAGGGGGTGGGGTGGGAGGGGGTTTGACAAGGGGGTAGCAATTACCACTTCCCTTCCTTATATATCAACTTGTGGTAAAAATCCCTCCCCTTTACTCCCTGTTCTCACACCCTTACCCCCCTTTTTTTACTCTCGGTTACTCCCGATTCCCCCCTCCCTTATCTCAGGGATCCATCCCCTGTCCACTGCCTCCTACCTGTTTTCTCTGTTGTGTTTTTCCGTGCTGCACATGGGTCACCGTCAAGGTTGTTAAAATTTATATTTTTTTGTTCTCCTTTTTTTACGCTACATGTACATGTACATGTATTAATGTAAAAAAGAAGGTGTGGCATGAGCGCCAATGAGACAACTCTCCATATATTGTTTGTTTATATTGTATAGTGTTTTCAAAAGTGTGTAATCATATTTGTATGTAATTTTATGCCCTCAGTTACTACGGGTTGATTTCTTTTTCTGTCTGTTTTCTTTGCTACATCTTTGTCCCGTAACATTCCAGATATACTGTATGTGACAATTTCCTTCATTTAACTTTTCTTATGAAATACAAAATGACAGGGTCTGCTAATGATTATAGTATCGATCAACATGAAGAAAAAAACTATGATTGTATGTACATGTGCAAAATAAAATCGTGTTGATACATGTAACAGATACTTTTAAAAGCGATAAAAATAGGGTATCATATAAGTATAAGTGAATTCCATTTATACCCAATTTTCGTTTGTACATCCGTCACGCCTGGATTAAGTTTCCATATTGTCATAATATACATGGCACTATTATCGCGTCGGCACAAATTCTTGTTTAAGTAAGTCTTTATTTCACCATTTTCTGCTTTCAGATTTTCAAATACAAATGGAAAAACGAAACAAGTACAGAAATTATGCTCTAGAGGATATCAAAAATGCAGTCCAAATGGTTGAAAATAAGTCAATGTCTATTCGATCTGCATCACGACAATACAATGTCCCAAAAACTACTATAATAGACAAACTTAATGGCAGATCTAGTCTTCAAGCAAGATCAGGACCTAATCCTGTATTATATGATAGTGAGGAAAAAAATGCTAGTTCACTGGGTCATAGATATGTCAAAAATCGGTTATGGCCAAACAAAACAGCAACTTCTGTATACGGTGAAGACAATTTTGGATCATGATGGTCGGAAAACCCCATTTAAAGATAATTTGCCGGGTAAAGATTGGCTATATGCTTTCATGAAACGCCATCCTGAGATTTCTACACGCACTCCACAGAAACTTGGTAAGGAACGCGCAGTAATATCTTGGCAAAAAATAAAATGGTGGTTCGCAGATTTTGAAAAATACCTAACGGAAAATTATGAAGAGGGAATAGGTATATTGAAAGATGCTTCCCGCATATATAATGCAGATGAAAGTGGGTTTCCACAAGATCCAAAATCTGGTAAAATTTTGGCTGCTAAAGGCAGTAAGAATGTGTATTCAACATGTTCAGCTGACAAATCACAGATAACTGTTCTTGCATGTATGAGTGCAACAGCACACTACTTACCACCTATGCTTGTATTTCCAGGGGAGCGTTTCCGGTATAATCCACTCGAAGGATTCACTGAAGCAGTACTTGGTCGGACAAAAACTGGTTGGATGATTTCCGAACTATTTTACACCTGGGTACGTGATCATTTTATTACTGCAATTAAGGACCGAAAAGTCAAGCAACCGGTTATTTTGCTGGTGGATGGACATACTAGCCATATTAGTCTGAAAACAGCTCAGCTTTGTAAGTCTGAGAATGTTATATTGTACTGTTTGCTCGAACATGCAAGTCATATATTACAGCCTTGTGATGTTACTTTGTTTGGGCCTTTGAAGAAGCACTGGAGAGATTCAGTGAGAGATTACCAGTTGAAAAATCCGGGTGAATTTGTCACAAAAGATACCTTTGCTTCTGTATTTAAGTCGGCATGGGTGAATGCAACAACAGTTGGTGTAGCAATTAAAGGTTTCCGTCATACGGGGCTTTATCCAATTTCAGTTGAAAGTGTAGATAAATCGAAAGTCGAGCCATCGGCAGTATTTGCAAGGGCAAAGTCAGACCAGGATCTCGGTAATGATGACTATATGAATTGTAAAGATGCCCAAGTTGATAGTCGTCCAGTTACCAATAGTATTGGGACCTACATTCTAGATCCAGAACCCGTACAAATTGCTGATGAGGCGGAGACAGAGATTGCTTTAATGCCATCTGAAATTTGTGACTCTATTTCATGTGAAACATCACATACAATAGTTGAAGAATTGCATGATCAGCCTCCTTGTCTTTATCCAGAAACCATCATACAAGTTAATCCATGCAATGTCAATGTAACACCACACAAAGAAACAAATAAACATTCCTGCGAAAAAGCACCTTCATCATCTTTCGAACTCCTACTTGTTACTCCAAATGAACAAAAGACTCTCAAGAAAAGGAAAACTTGTACTGTACTACCAAAAGCCGTTTCGGGATCGGAAATGATAAAAATATTAGAGAATCGAAAACAGCAGAAAGAAGATGAACAGGAAATGAAAGAAAAGCGTAAGATTGATAGAGAATTAAAACGCAAACTAAAGGAAGAGGAAAATGCTAAAAAGGAGGAGAAGAAAAACGAGAAAAAGAAAAGAACGGAAGAAAATAAGAAACGTAAATTATCAAAAAATCAAAAGATATCAGAGAAATCGACTACTTCCAGGCTTTGTTCCAAGTGTTTACTTGAAACAGACAATGTTTATATATGTTGCGAGATTTGCTTCTCCTTTTATCATGCAAAATGCTCTGGTGTTGATTTTTCTTGTGTGCATATTGACGACATCGTTAGCTTTCCATATGAGTGTGATGATTGCCTCTAAAATGCGTCAGATATTCTACGTGACAAATTTTTCACAATGAATGTATGACTTGTTACAAATTTTATATATTTATTACTACAGTGCAATGTTTTAAACAAAATAATATAGCTACATGTATACTGTACTGCATTATCTGTTGTTATTTTCGATATTTGGAATACATGTTGTTGTTGTTTTTTTTTTTTGGGGGGGGGGGGGGGTCGTGTTGCACAGTCTTTAGTTTTTTGTACGGGTTTGTGTTGCACAGTCTTTAGTTTTTTGTGGGGTTCGTGTTGCACAGTCTTTAGTTTTTTATGGGGTTTCGTGTTGCACAGGCTTTAGTTTTTTGAGGGTTCGTGTTGCACAGTCTAGTTTTTTGTGGGGTTCGTGTTGCACAGTCTTTAGTGTTTTGTGGGGTTAGTGTTGCACAGTCTTTAGTTTTTTGTGGGGTTTGTGTTGCTCAGTCTTTAGTTTTCTGTGTTGTGTTTGTGTGGACTGTCATCGGTCTTTTTTCATATTTTTTTTGGCTCTTGAGTTTGATTGTTCCTTTGTTATCTCCTGCCTCTATTTTATCTTAGAATACAGAACATTTTAAAAATGATATACATTAGCGTGGCTTTGGCAATTTGTTATAATCGTTTTTCTGCTAAATATATTTTTGTCATATATAATTACTTTGCGTAACTTTAGGGAGAAACTATTTTATTTTTATTTGGTTGAGGGGGATAATGTTAGTCCTATAATATAAGACTTCGTAGGTTCATATTGTCTTCACTTGACGTTTTTTATCGGATATATTTTTTACTGGTTCGGCATTGATAGTAAAAACAAATATCCGATAAAAACGTCGAATGAAGACGATATGAACCTACGAAGGCTTATATTATAGGACTAGGGATAATGTGTGTTAGATCAAGATTTTCCCGTTGAAAGTTCTACCCAGACTTTTATGCGATTTGAAGCTATCTTGTAATCTGCTCGTGCTGGATGTTTTTACCATGATTTCTGGTCCTGTCTTTTTTATTTCAAGTTCTATCCTAGCATCCAATAATAATCAGCCAAATTTTGACAGTCTTATTTGTAATAGGACATTGTCCCATTTATTTTGGAAGACAAGATCGAACATCACTCATTTTGATGACCCCTAAGTGCCTTAAAACAAACAAAAATAATGTCCATGGTATACCTAGTGTGCCCCAGCCCGATCCCCATTTAAAAAAAATGGAGTTCAATACATGTGCAAGTTCGTGTTCTTTATCAATCAATTATGGACCGTAAGTAGAGCACACTGAATGAACATTAGCACGTACAACACTATAATTATTCACATAAAGAGCACACAAACTAGTCATCAGTGTGATCTTATCAATACATATCACGACAATTAATTGAAATACGCACGAGTATTCACAAGCCCCGTGTGAGCAGTTGTAGACATTCATTTCTTCTTCTGAAATCCGCTTCAAACAGGTCTTTCGAAATTTTAAGAAACTCAACATTGAATTCTTTTTTTTTTGAAGGACTGCCTGAATAATATCAGTCGCTGATCAAAACTTGTAATGTTCGTGTGAATACCGAAACGGTATCACTTTAAAAGAAGTGAAATGGCCGTTTATCTCCACTTACAACAGCAAAATTATTATCAAAATTAACACTTCATGACCAATTGATTCTGGGGTCGAACCATAATATAATGTAATCAGTGATATGACGGAAGGAAATTATAAAGTGGTCGAAAATACCCGACCATGGTCGAAAATACCCGAATATTTAACAATGTTAAAATAGTCATTACTAACGCAATTATCAAAAAATATGTATTGTTTCTTCGACGAAAATAATGGCCAATACGTAAAGATGTTTACTTGTAACGTCAAGATAACCATTGTTTTTTCTTTGACGTCATGATCGAATTTACTGTTAAGTGGTCGAAGAACTGCCGACATTGCCCTACTACCCCTGCCCCTCTTGTTAAGAAGTACAAAAATACAAAGTACACAATATCTTAATTCACTTCTGTAACAATCATATAAATCCACATTGTTCCAAATTTATGACATGATTCTAAATCAGAACATTGAAATTAAGATGACCTAGGAGACTTTTTATGTTTCCTGAAAACCAAGGGTGGATAATGATATTATACTCTGTAATTTATAATTTATTATTACACACCTTTATACTAGATATCAACAGAGATAGTCAGCCCTTTTATTTTATTCTTACTATAAAAGGTAGCCCTTTTATTTTGTTCTTACTATAAAAGGTAGCCCTTTTATTTTGTTCTTACTATAAAAGGTTGCCCTTTTATTTTGCTCTTACTATAAAAGGTAGCCTCTCTTATTAAACCAGAACATGAGATATACAATTTTGCAACTAGACATCCTAAGAATAACTAGAGGCTCTCAAGAGCCTGTGTCTCTCACCTGATTCTACTTTGGTTTTGGAAATCATGTAAAAATAGATTAAAATCATAATAGATACCCTTATAATGATTGAGGCCAAATTTGGTTTAATATTGGCCCGATAATTTAATCAAAAGCAGAAGACTTTTGTAAAATTTACAGAAATTACCAATAAATTAATTGAAATTGTAGAAAATGACTTTATAAGGACAATGACAAATCAGCTACAAAGTAACAACACTTGGTCAGCACCTCAAAAGAAACATTCATACCACGTTTGGTTTCAATTAAATAAGCGGTTTTCTAGAAGAAGACATTTGTATATATTTCCCATATAGTCCTTTGTTAAAATAAGTCCCCCGTTGGCAGCCATCTTGAATGATTGATTGGCTACAAAGTAAAAACACTTGGTCAGCACCTCATTAGGAACATTCATGCCATGTTTGGTTTCATTCCATTCAGTGTTTCTCTAAAAGAAAACTTTTGTATGTATTTCCCATAGTTCCCTTCTGGTGGCCATCTTGGATGATTGATCACCTACAAAGTTACAACACTTGGTCAGCACCTCATAAGGAACATTCATGCCATGTTTTATTTCATTCCATTTAGTGGTTCTCTAAAAGAAGACATTTGTATGTATTTCCCATAGGGTCCTATGTTAAACTAAGTCCCTCTTTTGCGGCCATCTTGGATGATGGATCGGCTTCAAAGTAACAACACTTGGTCAGCACCTCATAAGGAATATTCATGTCATGTTTGGTTTCATTCCATTCAGTGGTTCTCTAGAAGAAGTTCAAAATGTAAAAAGTTAACGACGACGACAGACACCAAGTGACGAGAAAACCTATAAATTTGATTCCAATTGGACAAGTTTGTTTCAGAGGACAAGATTTTTGAACAAATTAATAATTCACAAATGGATGAAGACTGGCAAAAGATAACACTTGCTTTCTAAGTCTGGTGGAATTATAACTAATTACACTACTATTTGTACATTTCTTGCAATTCTATTTTTGTAATTTGTAATCAACGGCCCACAATTTTATATAAAACACTTTTCTATTCTATACTAAAAGATTTGTATTGTCAACAGCAGATAACATATTTGTATTGTCAACATGAGTTAACATAACTGTACATTTGTATTATTAACAGCAGATAACATAACTGTACATTTGTATTGTTAACAGCAGATAACATAACTGTACATTTGTATTGTCAAAAGCAGTTCACATAACTGTACATTTTAACTGTCAACAGCAAAGCAGTTATCATATTCTTACCACAGAAACAATGGCCACAATTTGTTTCTACTCCATACTCAGCATTATTAAGACAGATTGGACAGGTAGCACTCCCATCATTTGCATTACGTCTTGGCTGTTGTTGATGTGGGTGATCATGTCCAATTACCTCCCTTGTAGCAGTGACACTGGCAGCACTGTCTGGATGAATGCTCAATAAACCTTGTCTATGACTGAAAACAGTTATAGCTTATCAAATTGTTATATCTTTACTCTGAAATATGTACAGCATGGGTAGCTGTCTCCATAAGTCCTCAACTGTTGAACAATAGCTTCAAATTGGAGAAGACATAACTAAGTTGTAAAACTTGTGTCTTATTTATTTGTCTTTTTTAAGTTTAAACTTAACATTTGCTATTTTTAATTTATGGTCAACACATAAAGATTTTACTTGACTTCATGGCATTGACATATTGAACAATGAAAGTTATTGAACTTATTCAAACAATGTGCAAATACTTTCCCTTGAAACTGTTTCTGCAATTATGCTTGATTGATTGATGTTTGCTTTACATACAGTAGCAAATATCTCATCCATGTTCAGGATGAGATCAAGTTAACAATTTATATAATTTGTATGTCCTGCAAATGGAGGCCAACAAGGATGAAGGACAGGAAATTAGGAATTCTGACTGAACTTGGCTGCAGATTTATATTGCCAAATGAATGCCCCACTTTAACAAGGGTTTTACTACCTGTAAGAAGAAGACCAAGGGATTACCCCCATATTTCTATACTTCCAATCAATCATTTGCAAATATGATTTTTCTAGACAAATATATATTTTATTTCACAATAAATTCAATCTTTCTTTTTAGCACATACTTACAACTTCTCGTCCAATCAAATTGCTTGAATTTGCCTTCTAATTTTCATAGTACTACACACTTTTTCCGTGTACTAAGTAACTACGCATGAATGATCACAAGTGTAAGATTTCATTGTATCGTAATCAAGTCTTATTTATTAAAACAAAAATTGCTACTGGCTATTTTGAAATAAATGCTGTGTTCTAAATTAAACTAAATAGTCTGTAATTAGTTTTCAAATTGATTTTTAAACATCCTACTTATTAATCTTTGAATCTTAAAATGTTTTTGACGATTACAAGTTTCTTTCATTTAAATAAAAAGTTGCAAATATGGTTCTTTATACCTTGATTAGAGTACAACGCCATCTAAAAAATGTGATCATTTATTTTCCATGCAATTACTTTGTACACAAAAAAGAGTGAACCATGAAACCTTGTGAAGGGAAATTAAAGCAATTTGATCTATTTCGTCATGAATTGATTGATTATTGGTTGCTTAATGTCCAGTGGCAAATATTTCATGCATGTAAACTATCCACAAGACTACCTATGGGGCAATTACAGCTATTTTTAAAAAGGGTTCCAACCCATTGATCATCACGAAAAAGGTGTTTTCCACCACCAACCCCCCTCCCCCTTTTTGGATCCGCCACTGCAAACTATCTAAATGTGTAAAATTTATTATAGTTTTAGTTTTTATGTGAAATAGAAAAATGTTTTTAAGAATCTAAAGCTTCCACTGCAATTTAATTACTGCCTGCTTTTGGTCAATTTATTTTGTCATCTTACCATGTAAAGAAGTACATGTGTCGTAAAATGCCGTTTAATATCAATAGACATACTTACACCAGCAGCTACTATCTTTTCATTCTGGAGTCCAAGGCCTTGTGAAATCACATATTTTACAATGATACTAGTGAGTAGATTTACAAAACTACGTAAATGAGCTACACCTAGTCAGCCAAAACATATCAATAGACTAATTACAGGATTACTTAAGTTGTAAATATGTGCTAAATTGGATAGTGTATGGAAAGGTATATACAATGAAATTAAGAGCTCGGGGCAAGCCCCTCGCTCTAAATTTCATAGTATATACCTTTCCATACACTAACCGACACATAGAGTTACTTCCTTTAACTATATTTTTGGCAAAAATGTTTTTTTCCAGATAAATGTATATTTTGGTAAATCTTCAATCTTTTTTATTATGGTAGCTTCCCAGGAAACTATTTTTTTTCCGTGTTATTTCTAGGTAAATATCCATTCTATACACTGCATTAATTGATCAAAAGTAACACACCTTAATTTGAGAAAGACATGATCAACAGAACATCACCTTAATAGCAGGTATGTAATTAGTGGTAATCACATAGTGGTAATTCACCTTAATGTAATCAGGTAAATGATCAGTGGTAACTCACCTTAATCTGATCAGGTACATGACCAGTGGTACTATTAGAGCAAGAAGAACAATTAATGCATATATCAATTCATCACCAATGCCTTCTACCATTGTAGCTTTTCTAAAATATCCAGCCATCAAAACTAGAAATCTAGGGGAAAAATAATAAAACAAAATGAAGATGATTTCAAGTTGTTTGTAGGTAGAAGTGCATTATTGATTATAAATGATACCTGTCTAGCACAAGTGTTATTATTTAAGAGTCCTTCACATGTATTTGACACCTTTCTCATGTATTTAAGGCAAAGTACAACTTGAATAAAATGCTCTGCAGGGCGCAGCTTGATACGACCGCAGAGGTCGAACCTTGAACAGTTGGGGCAAGTATGGACACAACATTCAAGCTTGATACAGCTCTGAATTTGGATTGTGATTAAATATTTGACACAGCATAGGTTTCTGACACAGAATGAATGTTGTCTAAGAACTTAAAAATTTTAAATTGGACATTCACCTATTATGGTCCAATATCCAAAATCTAAATACATGGTTAGATTCAGCATATCAAAGAACCCCAAGAATTCAATTTTTGATGAAATCAAACAAAGTTTAATTTTGGACCCTTTTGACCTCAATGTGGACAAAGTTGATAACGGGGCCCAAAAATCAAAAATCTAAATACATGGTCAGATTCAGCATATCAAAGAACCCCATATATTCAATTTTTGTTGAAATCAAACAAAGTTTAATTTTGGACCCCGATTTGGACCAACTTGAAAACTGGGCCCATAATCAAAAATCTAAATACATGTTTAGATTCAGCATATCAAAGAACCCTAAAAATTCAATTTTTGTTAAAATCAAACTAAGTTTAATTTTGGACCCTTTGGACCTTAATGTAGACCAATTTAAAGCGGAACCCAAAAATTAAGAATCTAAATACACGGTTAGATTCGGCATATCAAAGAACCCCAATAATTCAATTTTTGATGAAATCAAACAAAGTTAAATTTTGGACCCTTTGGACCTCAATGTGGACCAATATAAAAACGGGGCCCAAAATCCAAAAACTTAATACACGGTTAGATTCAGCATATTAAAGAACCCCAAGAATTCAAGAATAAAACCCCATTGAAATTGATCAAGAAATAAGCAATTTATACGAAGTATCTTCTTTTGCACAATACTGTGCAATTGAATATTTCTTGCTATTGTGCAATACTGTACAATTGACAATTTCTTGCTATTGCGCAATATTGTGCTATTGGATATTTCTTGCTATTGCGCAATACTGAGCAATTGAAGATTTCTTGAAATTGCGCAATACTGTGCAATTGAAGATTTCTTGCTATTGTGCAATACTGTGCAATTGAAAATTTCTTGCTATTGCACAATACTTATTATATAATAATTTACACATCCTGTTTGGTGTGTATCTCCTACCATATCATTATTATTTGCTTTTAAATATTAATCAGAAATAACCAACTTAAAATGGAAAATTTTAAAAGAAAAAAAAAAGGAAAAAAGAAAAAAAAAGAAAAAAAAAAAATCCCCCCCCCCCAAATTTTTTTAACCCCCTTATGATTCATCACCCCCAAACTCAATCCCAGCCTTCCCTTTGTGGTATGGTACTTGCAGTACAATTTCAGAGAGATCCATACACTTGAACACAAGTTATTGTCTGGAAACTAGAAAAATGCTTATTTTTGGCCCCTTTTTGGCCCCCAATTCCTAAACGATTTGGGCAATTACCCCCAAACTCAATTCCAGCTTTCCCTTTGTGATATGGAACCTTGTAGTACAATTTCAGAAATATCCAAACACTTACACACAAGTTATTGTCATGAAACTAGAAAAATGCTTGTTTTTTGTCCCTTTTTTGGCCCCTAATTCCTAAAATTTTGAGGCAATTACCCCCAAAATCAATTACAGCCTTCCCTTTGTGATATGGAACCTTGTGGTACAATGTCAGAGAGATCCATACACTTACACACAAGTTATTGTCTGGAAGTTACAAAAATGCTTATTTTTGGCCCCTTTTTGGCCCCTAATTCCTTAACTGTTGGTACCATAACCCCCAAAATCAATCCCAACCTTCCTTTCGTGGTATTAAACCTTATGGTAAAATTTCATAGAGATCCATTCACTTAAACTAAAGTTAGAGTGCGAAAACCAATGTGTCTTCGGACGACGCCAGACGACGACGACGACGACGCCAACGCCAACGTCATACCAATATACGACCAAAAAATTTTTAATTTTTGCGGTCGTATAAAAACTGGTTGAAGTTCATTCCTAATTTAAACATATATGGCATTTCCGAAAAAAATTCATTGATAAAACCCTGACAAATTTTCCGGTACTTTTGGTAGTTGATAACATTTATACCAGTTTGGGTGACTGGTCCTCTTCTTCTTCTCCTGTAAGTATTTTCTTTGTTAAGGAACACCAAGGGATTTCTTGTGGAAATTATGTATACTTTATAAATAAAGGTTTTCTATAAATCAGACATATACACAATCAACATGTCATACAAAATCAACATGTCATACACAAGTTTGACAAAATTACTTCTTTAAAATCTAAAAAGTGGTTTCTTCTTAATAAATAAACATAAGAGAAGAGCTTGTCGTCATATCCGTCGATGAAAATATACATATATATTCCAAATATATATGTTTGAAGGTTGCCCTTCATTTACTTCAGGGGACCCAGTCCATTTAGGGCTATACTAAACTATTCCTTACTCTATGAACCCTAAACCTTATCGCTAGCCTAATTCTTAAATCATAGCCCTAACCTTGAACAAACCCTACCCCTACCCTAACATAAACAGAACCCTAACATTAAACTATAGGGCCTTTTTAAGTGGTTACTGATCACAAATAAGAGATAACAAATTTAACACTCTTGTCCCCTGAGTATCAAGTTCAAGTTCAATAATGAGTAACTTGTGAAGTTTTCTGTAGTCCTATCAATATTTTCAATTTTGTCACTTAGGGGCAGCCCTGATTATTTAACGCCCCATTAGTCCGACACCCCATTGATCCAATACCCAATTTGTCAGACACTGGCATATTTAGACAATAGTTAATACATGTATCTCGTTATATCAGAAAGCCGACTAATTGAGTGTTCTTTTAAGCGGTAGTTGGTTTGAATTGGTACAGAAGGTTCTGTCCAATGTCTGAACAGGTAATGCAAGTTCTCTCTGCAAGTTATCTCTGTACGTTGGTGTAATACCCGAATAGTTCCAGCCCTACCAGTAACTGACCTCTCATACTCACGAGGTATAGCCATTGTAGAGCACTGGAATATACCAACCGAATTATTCAGGGTATTAGTATAATAGCAGGATTTCATCAGCATAGCAACATTAAGAATAATAGACACATATCCAGTACGACTAAATGTCAATGTTGAATTACTTACATAGTACATACATATAACTGTTTATCTCTCCCAGATCAGAGATGTTAGAAAGTAAAGATGCAAACTATGAGGCTTGATTACTGTGTTCAGATGAACCATGCAAGATGGTTACGTATACCTTAAAAGCATTCCATACACCAAATATAGTTCATTATGTGAGATGAGGACTTGTCGTCAGATCACAAAAACTTAACCTTGATAAAATTTCATTACTGATCTATGAAACGAGGTCAATGTCAGGCACACCCTGTCTTAGACATATGTAGACCTTGCAAGGGTTACATAAAACAAATATATTTATCCTACTCAGAATTTCACATGATTAAAAACTATAGTTTTAAGCAGATGCTGAAACATGAAAATGAGATATATTGGACAATGGACTTCTGACAGACAGAAACTTCACAAGTTAAACAGAAGGAAACCGATTAATATAAGCTTTGAATAGCTTGTTTCTGAATCCTACTATTAATAGTTTACCTTTGTATTATGATATACGTGTAATGATGACAACTAAATATGTTTATACTAAGTTCAACATCAGACATCTGTATATAAGGTATGAATCAGGTATTCTACCTTCTGAAATGTAAAGCTTTATACAAATAGTTATGCCACCGCTGCCAGATTAGCATTCCTGTGTATCACATTCCACAACTTTTGTTGCATGCGAGAAAAAAAAAGGAAAAAAATCAAATTCTTTTGGAATTAAGTTACAATTCAAAGGAATACGATTCTGTCAAGAGTTGATGTTTCCTGACTTTCACTGTCATTCCAATGGAAATGTCAAAGTGGCACTCACCCCACACACTGCAACAGATTTAACTTCCGTGTTCTGACCTGACGTGGCCGCAAATTTCTACATTCCATACAATCAAACAATGCATATTTTAGCAAGGGTTTAACTGTTAGACAAGAGAAGTCAAGGGATAACTATATTTGTTTACCCAGATCAACCCTCTGGGTGACAGAATGAGTAGTTTAAAATACCGCTCCCACATGAACACCAATATATTCTATAAAATAAATTTGAATGACCTATGTTGTACTATTGGGATGTCAGACAAACGGGGTGTTAGACTTACGTGGCGTTGGAACAATTAGGGTTTGTAATGGTGACCTAGGTCCTAACCTCAGTCCTGTCGTCTGTCGAATAGCCTGACCAAATGAAGAAAATGAAACTTGACACTTCTGTCGTTCTGACACTGAATTTGATTACGTCGTTTAAAAGTAAAAAGGGGTTTTGAAGAACATGCTAAACTTTATGTTTTGTTCAAAAAAATATTTTACAAACCTTTGAATTAATCGTCATTACTTAAAACCTTCATTAATCATCAATATTTTTATCACAACCTGAAGAAATCAAAACGAAACCGGAAGCGGAAGTTATGAGTTGCTGCCCTTGATTGAACTATTTTACTGTTTGACAGAACTGGGGCGTAAAAAACAGGAAAATGAATCGCGAAGAAGTCTGCGATAGCTTAATTATTTGGGTATTTATTAGTTTTGATGAAAAGTATACGTTTGTTACGATAAAACACTTTCTGTGTTGAATTAAATGTAGCACAAAAACCTAATATCAGATTCAGCTACATGCAAAATCTGCCATTTTTGTAAATTATATATAAAATTTCCACATGCATAATAATTTAATGCAAAGTGTATCAGTGCCATGGTGTCACATGTAATGAAATGCTTAAACTTAAATGGGACTCCCTCTATGAGAATTTGTCTACATAATAAAGATTCTAGGTTGCTTTCACCCCATTTCAGATCGGGCATTTCACACAACCCAGTTTTTGGTCAAAAATGTACTGGTGAATACCTCTGTTATTTAGTGCTCCCCTCGACAGCTGCAAGGGTACAATGGAATCAGTGTTCACTCCCTAACAGGATTAATGGAGGTGTGTCGCTAACTTGTGTACAACCAACCACCAAGAACAATCCATCCCCAACCCAACACCAAGGGAGTGTTAGGACACTAGGAAGTCTGTTATGATGGAGGAAGCTGAAGTTCTCAGAGAGAACCAATAGGAAACTTGGTGGAAACAAACAAACCGATTCGATATCTGAAGATTGATCTCCTGGTCAAAGTCGGGGGCCACTTTGACCAACCGAGGCCCCCAAAGTACCAGTGTGAATGGGAATAGACATATTTTGCACTATTGGGTATTTAGCTGAACTGTGACTCAATATGACCCTAGATCCGTCTGAATAAAACTTATGATGTCATGCCAAGGCTTCAGATGTGATGAAATGCTTAAACCCAAATGTGACTCCCTGTCTATTGAGGCTATAGACCAGTTATCCTTATTAAAAGGCAATCCTTAGTAGTTTTAAGATAATTTTAGAAGATTGGAAAAGGGACAGAGATACTTTCCTTGTCAGATAAAAGAACAGATGATCAAAGTAAGATACAAAATAAAATAGGCCATGTCAAGAAATACATGTATCTATGATCATGATGATGTTATCACCAGTAATTTTTAACAGGATTTTCGAAGGAAAAATCTGTTATTGATTTGGGGATGTACGGCAGGCGGCTGCCAAACAGTGCCTGTTCATTAACATGAAATGCTTTGACGAAATTTTTTCAAATTTTGAAATGTTGTTTCCTGGGACTAAATGAAGGTCAAGTTCAATTTTCACAATTTTAGCTATTCTCGTTGTTGAGTTGTAGACCTTTTAGAAGCCAAAAGTTATACTTATTATGTGATTGAGTTATTTCCCTTTGAACAGAAATGGCAAATATCATTTTCATTAGATAATAATCTATTTTTATTAAAGGATACAGTGTTCCAGCTTGAATCTCAGGGCAGAAGGGTGCTAGTTGTCTGAAAGGGCACTTTAGCGTTATAACCCAGATTTTAAGGGCAATGTTGGACAGTGTATAAATTACCTTGAATATTGCTAGGCTCAGCTGGAGAACATTTATTTAGTTGTATTTAAACCATATTCAGAAATTAATGTGTTCTTGATGTTGGTTCCAGTAAGAATTTTTTTTCATCAAATAATCATACCATGAAGCATATCATTTTGATGTTTATCTAAACAAACTTGTACATTTGGTATGGAAAATAATCATCAGAAATTTCAATGTTTTATAACTTATACCAAAATAAACAAGTAGTTTTGAAAGATGGAGTTATACATGTTGAATGTTGAATGGAATTAAATGATCTACATTTAAATTTACTTGTTCAAACATATAGTATATATGTTATTGAGAGTTATTTATTATCATATGAATTGTTACAAAAAAATTTTTTAAGTGCACACCAAAGTGCTCCTCAGTAAGGAGTTTTATAAATATAACAGGTGAGACAGGAGATGATCATATTTTATATTGATGCAATAATATATTGCAGAAGGTACAGTTACTTTTTTCTCCATCATTGTTAAAAATGAATTTGTTGAGTGCTCCTATGTCAGGAGGATTATAAAATACAAGAAGTATTAAAAACAGGAAGTGAATCTTGTTATGTTCAAAGTACAAATTTCTTTGATTCCTCTTTAAATTTCATACTCATGGTTATGAAACAAAACATTTTTTACCAATGAAGTCAAAACTACAAAAAATCAAAAATGCTTTCAGCAGTTCTTATGAAACTTTGGTGAATTGTTTATATCTATTGATGTAAGCTCCTGTTAGAATTTTATAAATTTTACATTTTACATTTCTATGTTATGGGGTTTTATTCATTAAAAAAGGGGGGATTTCCAGTTTTCGGACAATAACTCAAAAATGCTGTCAGCAATTCTCATGAAACTTTGGTTAATTGTTTATATCTATTGATGTAAGCTCCCTTTACATTTTCATAAATTTCTAATATGACATTGAGAATTAATTGAACTTTAATTGTTTATAGTCTGACAACAGATTTACTAAGTATTGCGCAACAGCACAGTGTATTGCACAACAGCAAGAAATCTTTAATTGAATATAAATTCAATTCATATAACCAATTTCAAGTTCTTTGACTACATTTATTCAGAAACCTATAATATGTCAAATATTTAATACAATCCAAATTCAGACCTGTATCAAGCTTGAATATTGTGTCCATTTTTGCCCCAACTGTTCAGGGTTAGACCTCTGCAGGCGTATCCAGCTGCGCTCAGCGAAGCAGTTTATTCAAGTTGGTACATATCGGGGTCCAAAATTAAACTGTGTTTGATTTCAACATAAATTGAATATATATAAGGTTCTTTAAAATAAAACTTTTTTGATTTCATAAAAAATTGAATTCTTGGGTTTCTTTGATATGCTGATTCTAACAATGTACTTAGATTTTGGATATTGGACCAGAATAGGTAAATGTCCGATTTCAAATTTTTCAGTTCTTGGACCACATTCATTTTGTGTCACAAACCTATGCTAGTCAAATATTCAATCACAATCCAAATTCAGAGCTGTTTTAAGCTTAAAATTTGTTTCCATACTTGCTCAACTGTTCAGGGTTTTGACCTCTGCATGAAAAGCCGGTTTGCTGTCACTCTGACAATCTCTTTTTGTCCATGCTATAGGTCAGATATTAAATGATGTGGAAACAAAATACACAGATGTATAAAAATGGTATTTGTAATTTCTATTTAATGCTATAATGTAGGCTAGAATGTCAGTAATGAGTCTTTGTGTAGACGAAATGCTCGTCTGCCATACCAAATAATAATATAAAAATAAAAAGATGTGGTTTGATTGCCAATGAGACAACTAGAGATCAAATGATGTTGATGTAAGCAAATATAGGTTACAATATAAGCCTGGTATCTTTGATGAGTTTTACATGTACAAATTTATAAAGCAAGTTATAAAATGTTACCTTGAGTTCCCAGCAGTACCACTGATATAAATGACTATTTATCGTCTACAATGTAATTATTGAATATGGAAAAAGACAACATTGTGTTGCTAAAATCAATCCAGTTGTAGTTGTCTGTTCAACTATTTGAAAAAAGTAAGTAATTAATTTTAATCATGTTAATGTACACTAACAGTAATGAAAAGTTACATTCTTGCTTTTTGAGGATTAATTAAACAAAATTCAACAATTCTACAGTTTATGTTAATTTTTTCAGATGCAGACATTTGAAGTTGATGCATCATGTAATTCTGCAGATGATCTGAGTGATGGTGTGGCTATGTCTCAAGTTCTTCATCAAATGTGAGTCCACTTGTAGTCAGGGTGTCAGTTTGATTGTTGACTTTACAGCTAGGTGAACATGAGATATATATATTGTACCAGATTTCCGTTTTCCATGTGTTACTTGTACATGTGGTGTAAGTAAGTATGTATGACATAATGTGGTTATGTGGTGTAAGTCAGTATGTATGACATAATGTGGTTATGTGGTGTAAGTCGGTATGTATGACATAATGTGGTTATGTGGTGTAAGTCTGTATGTATGACATAATGTGGTTATGTGGTGTAAGTCGGTATGCAGGGTCCGACACTTACGGTTGTCCGATTGCCCGGGGCAAGTTAATGCCATATTCGGACAAGTAAAAACATCATCTTGGTTGTCCGATCGGGCAAGTGAAAAAAAAACTGTTATATGATTAAAATTTCACAAAATCAATAGTGTCTGTTGTTTTGTCCATAGATTTCTCAGTGATAACACCGCACGGTCGAGTAAAGTGGTCTTAACCCCCCCCCTTCAATGCGTATATTTCGTCATTTGTTCGCACTGAATTCCCCATTTTACCAAAAATAGATCACGTTTAAAAATATTGGCCAATCAGGCGGCCACGGCTTTGCTTCCTCATTGTAGTTATCAATCGGGACACCACTCTGGTGTTTCCGACGCACGTGTTATTCCCACCGATCAATGGAAAGCAGAGGTCTATTTTCGTTGTTCTAACTTTAGAATTTGACATCGGATGTGTATTTCCCTAAGATCATGAAGATGGAAAACATAAAAGTTTGAAAGAGAAAATGAAATTAAACTTTAACAAATTTGTCAGTTGTTGTCAGTTTATTAAGAAGGGTTTTTTGAAATGGCATTTCTTAGATAAATTATTATGAAATAAGTATCTCTATGTAAATGATCCAATTCCCGTATATTCCTCGATCTTTTCCCTCCCTCCTCGGCTCATATATGCCTTATAGTATCTCAGTGGTCAAGTCTAGTTGCTGCCATCATGGCACAACAATCAACCCTGGCATGTAAATGTGTAAAAGTTTGGGCATGTAGATTTCACTTTCGAACAAGTAAAAGTAATAGGGCACTTGCCCAACTGGACAAGTTGGTATAAAAGTTAATGTTGAACCCTGGTATGTATGACATAATGTGGTTATGTGGTGTAAGTCGGTATGTATGACATAATGTGGTTATTAAGTTTAAATCTACATGTACTGTTACTACAGAATGACATATTTGAGAGTACAGAATACCATGTAAATTACGTAGCTACATATACAAAATTAACTTCTTACTAGTTTAACCCATCCACATTCTGTATGTGCCTGTCCCAAGTCAGGAGCCTGTACTTCAGTGGTTGTCGTTTGTTGCTGTGTATCATATTTGTTTTTCGTTCATTATTTTGTACATAAATTAGGTCATTAGTTTTCTAGTTTGAATTGTTTAACATTTGTCATTTCAGGGCCTTTTATAGCTGACTAACGGTATTGGTTTTGCTCATTGTATAATGACCTATAGTTGTTAATTTCTGTGTCATTTTGTCTCTTGTGGAGAGTTGTCTCATTGGCAATCATACCACATCTTCTTATTTTTATATTGTTATCCGATTAACTTTTAAAGGGAGGTAAATAGTTATTTTTGGTGCAATATGTTTCCCAGTTTTTAAATCACAAACTTTTGTAGTACATGTATTTGGATTTTTTCTCACAACATTAAAGAAAAATAAAAAATTATTCCAGAACATAAACTGACAATTACAGGCTGTGCTTCATGCGTTATAAGAGAAATGCACTGTTCAATCATATATTAATTGGAGCAAATTATCATTATTCACATAAAACCCTCTAAACTGAAGGATTTCACACAATGTTATCAAATATTTTTTTTTCTATAGAGCACCAGATTACTTTGATGATAGTTGGTTGTCAAAGATAAAACCTGATGTCTCTACAAACTGGAGGCTGAAGGTAAGTACCTATGATGTACCTATGATAGGCTATGTTGTCTCTACAAACTGGAGGCTGAAAGTAAGTATCTATGATAGACTTAAACATCGGTATTAATTGTAAATATGGACATTTTTAGAAGTTATTGATGGAGAGAAGCATATGTATTGTAATAATTCTGAGACTTGTTTGTCCTTTTGCAAAGGAGAGGTGAAGGATACCAAAGGGACATTCAAACTCAAGTCGAAAATAAACTGACAAAGCCATGGCTAAGAAAGAAAAAGACAAACCGACAGACAACAGTACACAAAACACAACAAAGAAAACCAAAGACTGAGCAACACGAACCCCACCTAAAACTGGTGGTGATCTCAGGTGCTCCGTAAGAGTAAGTAGATCCTGCTCCACAAGTGGCACCCGTCGTGTTGCTCATAATTGTACAAACCAGGTGAAAAGTCTTATTCGGTAGGTCACATTCAGGGAAAAGGGGATGGGATTGTAGTTACGACAATTGGAACTCTTGGTTTAATAGCTTCTTTTTGAGCAGCAACCCTCTATCAAGGAAATCATGATCGGAAATACAAGCCCTGGGAGATATATACTCTGTATGCAGGTGCTGCTGGAATGTTGCTACATAGAAATGGAAAGTTCACAATTGGGAAGCTGAAACTATCTCTTTTGCTGTAAAGTTTTGTTTTCAACCGACCATCATTGTCAATTTCTAGATGTTAGTCAAGATATGAGGCAGACTTAACTGTATCTGTTGTATCCTTTATCTCAAGGTTGATAGGATATATGCATTCAACATAGTCACCAAATTTTGAATTATTTGCAATCATTGAACAAAATAAGTGCATGTGTAGTTAGAAATTACAAGTGAGAATTTTGTACATTATTTATTTAATTATTTTGTAGGTCAGTAACCTTAAGAAGATCCTGAAAGGAATTCTAGAGTTCAATCTGGAGGTCAGTTTAATTGAAGATTTCTGGAAGTCTATGTGTTGTGTTTCAGGCTGTGTATAATGTTTGTATATGATTGACTATACGCATACAGTCATAGCCATATGTGTATATATTTATATCATCTGACCATACTATGGTCCAGGTTATTAACACGATGATAAAGATGATTTTACATGATACTTTCAAATGCAAGAGAACAGATACACCCACACTCAGACAGGTTTGCAGAACAAGCTGTGTGTTCCTCTGAAAGAAGAATTCTTCCATAGTTAATCTGCTTAATTTTTTATGTAAAATATGAGCAATTGCAGTGCAATATTTTGATAATTAACTTTGTCCAAAACTTGTTTGTTTTGTGTCTTACATGTACTTACTGCTGTGGCATCTTATATTCTTTTGAATAATTTTTTATTGTTGTATTTCCTGAACATCATGTTTTGTTTCTTACTTGCTGAACTAAAAGCACACAGGATGGATAAATGAGCACAAAACATTGATAAACGTTTCTCGTGCATATATGGTCTTTATACTCATATGTTCTTACCTGTTAATAACCAAATGAGTATATACTCATATGGTCCAAATACTCATATTTATATATATATCCAAAACATACATTAATTGAAAGTTTGATAACGTAATCATTATTACAACAAAGTTTAATAAAGTTTTCCCTTTGTAAATCATATAGAGAATGAATGTAGGATTAATGTGATAATATAAAAGTAAATAGATGTGGTATGATTGCCAATGAGACAACTATCAACGGAGTTCAAATGAAGTGGATATAAGCAATTATAGGCCACTGTACTGCCTTCAACAATGAGAAAAACTCATACTGTGTAGTCAGCTATAAAAGTAACATACATGAAAAATGTGAAACAATTCAAATGAGATAAGTAAAGGCCTAATTTATAACAAAACAATTTATGAAAAACAAATATGACATGAACCAACGACAACCACTGAACTATTTATTTTATAGATACTTGGAATAGAGATCCAGGATTTCCAAATGCCTAATATCAATGACATAGGTAAGTTTTTAGTTTTCACCATATATAATAAAGACAATATAAATAAATCAGAATCTTTTGATAAAAATTATACTTCACAATAATATCATATCACAATAATATCATACCTGTCCTCTACATGCAAATGTTTTCATTACAAAGTTAGTCTGTCAACTATGATGTTATATTCAGGTGAACACTGTAACACATCGGAGCTGTCACGCTTGCTACAGTTAATACTGGGGTGTGCTGTAAACTGTGCTGACAAACAGGAATATATACAGAGAATTATGTCCATGGAGGTCTCTGTCCAACAGGTTGTAATGAATGCCATACAAGAGGTATGTTTTACTTAAAATTCACTGACTGAATTTAGTATTTCACATAGAAATTTCTAATGTTGAGAAATCATATATTATTGACATAACATTTTAAAAGAAGTGTAATTCTCACTAAGGGGAAATTTACTACAAGAAAACATAAATTTTGTAGCCAGTTAATACAAATATGCATTGCATTAGATACTATATAAAACATGTCATAGATATTGTTTTAAATGTTTTTTTACAAAATCACTTACGCTATTTATTATTTCATTATGTTTGTTACAGCTGATGATGAAAGAAGTGTCAACCAATGGAGATGGTGATTCTGAAATGGCTGACCAGGTTAGTAATCGGCATGGAAACAAATTGTTCTAACACATCAAAAAGACAAATATTATTTAATAACTGTATATTCACTTAATCTTTTTTCGTTCAGAAATTTGAGAATTGCAAACAAAGATGACAAACAGTAAATACCATTATATCTATTTATAGAACTTTCAAGATGTTATTTATCTTGATCTCAAACCATATTTAAAAGGTTTTATATATAAGAAAAGATATTGTGTCAAGGAGACAACAACCCGACCAAAGACCAGAAAACAGCCCAAGGCCACCAATGGGTCTTCAATGCAGCAAGAAAAACCCGCACCTGGAGGCGGGCTTCAGCTGGCCACTTAACAATACTGTATAATGTATATTGCCATTTTCTTCTTTTAAAACAAGAGAGTTACCCATGTAAGAGCTGATTAAATATGAACAGTCAAGAAGAATTTTGAATTGCAGAGAGCAGTTTATTTCTTACCAGAAATAATTAAGTTTAGGTGAAGTGAACCATACATCTAAGGACTGGACATTTATTGAAAACTGAAAAAGAGTTGCGATAATCTCCCTTTTATCATGCAGTGACAGATCACAAAAAAATATATCTGTTTGGGAGAATTTACTTGTTTAATTTATTTCACAAAAGAATAAATAACACATGCTATTTACTATATTTAATTTTCTATTTACTTATTCACTACAATTTCATACACAAATGGATAAATCTTTGCATATAAGATTCCATCAGTATTGATTTAGCAACTGATTTGTTTATGTACAGTTGAAGAAAGCAGTTGATGATTTGAACTCAGCACTTGAAGACAAAGAAGACCTAACACAGAGATGTCATGAACTAGATGTACAGGTGTGTACAATTATACATTTAGTGTTGTTGTTTTGTTGATGCTTTGGGATTTCAGTGGAGTTAAATATATATTCTTGTCTGTATGACAGGGGACTGTGTCCATTGTACACAACATAATCTTGTATATTATAAAAGCAAACTTTGACAGACCTTATGATTATTATTTGATTATTGATATTAACAGAGTATTATATTATTCCATTATATTATTCCATTATGTTATTCCATTATGTAATTCCATTATGTTATTCCATTATATTAATCCATTATGTTATTCCATTATGTTATTCCATTATATTATTCCATTATGTTATTCCATTATATTATTCCATGCAAATTATATTGTTTGATATTAACAGTGAAAGATTCTTGTTTTTGGTTAATACCATACACATTGTATAAGTTTATGATGATTTATATATTCCAAAGAAGGCTGATACTAAATTGATTTATGGTAACTTTTAAAGGTTGCAGGCTTATTAGAGGAGAAACAAGTTTTATTCAGTGAGAATGAACGACTACAGGAGAGAGTGAACCAGGCGGAGAACCTGGATGAACCGAGGTAAGTTACAGACTAGAAGGTTTGAACAACATCTGCAAGGGCAGGAAAATTTATATTGTGTATATACACAGGTGAAATCAATGAAGTATGGTATATTTATTTTAAAAAAATATGTTACTAGTAAAAAATAGATTTGGATCATATTGACATTTTTCATAAGTACTAAGATTTTATGAAACTTAATTGCCAATTTAGTGATAAATGTCCTTTTATACATATTTGAGGGGTTGTTCCTTCAAAATTGTTTGATCAAAAGTTATTCATTGAAAACCAATTAACCACAACGCACAGCAATGTACAAAATGAACTTTAAACTGGAACCTGTTTCCAAGCATTTTGATTCATAGGTAAATAACCAGTAATCCAATTAAAGGCAACCTTGGGTGTTTTCCATATTTTGGTTGGAACCAATTGTGGCAACCAAATTAATAATCAGACACATCTGATCCAGTTTAATCTAGTTATTTGTTTGAAATTACAAGCCAAACAAACAGGAAGTAGTACACATGACAATTGAGACAGCAAAATAGAAAGCACTCAAGAATTTTTATGGATAGTAATATTTAAGCACAATAAATTAGATTATAGGTTATATATTAATTTGCTCTGTTTCTAGCCTGTTCCCTAGGTAAGTTGATAATAGTGAGAGCTACATATGTATTATTGCACCATGTATAAGTTCTACTAATACAGATCTTAAGACTTTGGGGGCGTGTCTAAGCATGCTCATAAATCATTCTATGAAGTAAGAGGGAACTGATTGTATAGTAAAAGAGGATGTGTCAGGGCATGGAGTATTGCTTGATAATATTTTTACAGAAAGTAAATGTATTTGTTTTCTCTTTGTATTTAATCCCCTTTCTATTTAGCCAATGGAAAAAATTAAATGCAATGCATTGTTTTGCATGTAATTAATAGTGAATTATTTTGACTTGCAAAACTCAAAAACTTAAGATGACAACAGTTGAGTTGTAGTAGAGTTTGATTGAGTTATACAAACCTGTTTTCTTCTATCATATATATAAACTTTTAACTTTCTTTGATAGACTTTTAGAATCTTGTCTGTTGCCTATACACCATATTTATTAGTATTTAGAAGTCAGAAAAATGTATTCCATTCTAATATATCCATGTATCGTGACAAGATTAATATCTTTGCTAATGTAAATATGCTTTGTTGACGTCAGTATAATGTGTATTTATCTGGTAGTGGTTTCTTCTGGTAAGTCTAAATATATCAGTCACATGTGATAGATAGCACAGATGTCAGTTATTCTAAGGAATCATTGTAATTCTTGGGTATTTTTGAACTCCAGATTTCAGCATCCACATAAGGAGATCCACTTTTACAGTTTTTCATCAGTGTGCCACTATGACAAGTACTATTGCAAAATGAACATTTATAAATTTTATTTTTTGTTTTATATTCCAAAAAGTGATAGAAATATATATTTTTGATACTTTACTGGCAAATTACTGCTGCATTCATTAATTGCAGTTTAACTCATTTCTACAACAGGTAGGTCACTATGACCTATATGTCATGTCTGAATGACAGTTCCTTTTTTCTTGCATTTTGGTCAATATCTTAATACTTCAGTGTTATGTTTCTTTAGAACATGGCTTGACCTTGATATTACATGTACTAATTACTGTTCAACATTAATGTTACTATTAATGGTTTTTGGGTCATATTTTAAAATCCCAGAATAATATTTCTACCTTTATAGCTTTCTTTTAAATGGAACAACTATGTTAAAAATAAATGTATTAATTTAAAAAAGATTACACCCTGTCAATAATCTAGTTTAGCCTAATAAATAATTACCACATGCAATAACTGAAACTATAACTGACTGAATATTTATGAAATGAATCCAAAAAGTTGGTGAAGTGACATGTTTGTACTAACGGTTGTTGCAGTTTGCCTTGATAGTGTGTGCTGGTTTGTCTTGTGTAATGTTTGAATGTATGTGAATTGTTGCCCTGGTATATTGAGAAGTGTGATTTGCCTGAATGTGAATGGTTGCCCTGGTGTATTTAAAAGTGTGACTTGCCCATAAGTAAATAGTTGCATTGGTATTTTTAGAAGTGTGACTTACCCATGTTTAAATGGTTGCAAATTTCCTTGGTATTTTTAGAAGTGTGACTCACAGTGTAGAGTTTAGTGTGTGACATTGCCACATTGTATACTTCTATTGATTTGCATATAAATTGATTAAAATTGAAACTTTGTTAAATCGGATAAATTTACTTCATGCTTGACAAATTAGGGGTCAACTTTTAGTATCCTATACAGAACTGGATTCAATTTTTGAAATAGTTGATTAGTTGAAGTTTTGAGAAGTCTTTAAATTTTAAACTATTTTGGTATTTTTGTCCACAAATGCACAATTTTTGTCTGATACTTAAAACATCTGTTTTATTCATGTTAATTTACATGTATTGAGTTGGATTAGTATACACAGCAGCTGTAGTTCTAAAAATGTTTTTGTTTCTGTTTTCAGTACACCAGCAGGTAAAAGATATCAACAGTTACTTCTACAGGTAGAAAAATTACAGGAAGAAAATTTTAAAATTGATGCTGGTAAGTGGACAAGCAAATTTTTTCATTATATGCATCAAACATAGTTAAGTTGTTATCTAAAATAATTGGATCAGCACTTATAAGTATATTTACACTTTATTGATTTTTTTAATCCCATTACAAAATAGTCTTGTTGTAATTCCACATAATAAACTTCATAAAGCACTGAATCATTGGTCTGAACAGAGAGACATGGATTTTATATGGACATACAAGTATCCCTTGTTTCTTGTTTGACCTTTAGTCTTCAGACCTTTACTCTGTTATTTCCCTTTGTACAGATCTTAATTCTTGTTTGACCTTTAGTCTTCAGGCCTTTACTCTGTCACTACCCTTTGTACAGATCTTATTTCTTGTTTGACCTTTAGTCTTCAGGCCTTTACTCTGTCACTACCCTTTGTACAGATCTTATTTATTGTTTGACCTTTAATCTTCAGGTCTTTACTCTGTTATTTCCCTTTGTACAGATCTCATTTCTTGTTTGACTTTTAGCCTTCAGGCCTTTACTCTGTTATTTCCCTTTGTACAGATCTTATTTCTTGTTTGACCTTTAGTCTTCAGGCCTTTACTCTGTCACTACCCTTTGTACAGATCTTATTTATTGTTTGACCTTTAATCTTCAGGCCTTTACTCTGTCACTACCCTTTGTACAGATCTTATTTTTTGTTTGACCTTTAGCCTTCAGGCCTTTACTCTGTTATTTCCCTTTGTACAGATCTTATTTCTTGTTTGACCTTTAGACTTCAGGTCTTTACTCTGTCATCACCCTTTGTACAGATCTTATTTTTTGTTTGACCTTTAGCCTTCAGGACTTTACTCTGTTATTTCCCTTTGTACAGATCTTATTTCTTGTTTGACCTTTAGTCTTCATGCCTTTACTCTGTCATTTCCCTTTGTACAGATCTTATTTCTTGTTTGACTTTTAGCCTTCAGGCCTTTACTCTGTTATTTCCCTTTGTTCAGATCTTATTTCTTGTTTGAACTTTAGTCTTCAGGCCTTTACTCTGTTATTTCCCTTTGTACAGATCTTATTTCTTGTTTGACCTTTAGTCTTCAGGCCTTTACTCTGGTATTTCCCTTTGTACAGATCTTATTTCTTGTTTGACCTTTAGTCTTCAGGCCTTTACTCTATCACTACCCTTTGTACAGATCTTATTTATTGTTTGACCTTTAATCTTCAGGCCTTTACTCTGTTATTTCCCTTTGTACAGATCTTATTTCTTGTTTGACCTTTAGTCTTCAGGCCTTTACTCTGTCACTAACCTTTGTACAGATCTTATTTATTGTTTGACCTTTAATCTTTAGGCCTTTACTCTGTCACTACCCTTTGTACAGATCTTATTTATTGTTTGACCTTTAGTCTTCAGGCCTTTACTCTGTCATTTCCCTTTGTACAGATCTTATTTCTTGTTTGACCTTTAGCCTTCAGGCCTTTACTCTGTCATTTCCCTTTGTACAGATCTTAATTCTTATTTGACCTTTAGCCTTCAGGCCTTTACTCTGTTATTTCCCTTTGTACAGATCTTATTTCTTGTAAGCCTATGAATATTATTTTGTTTTAGACTCAAGGTTCATGTTATTTTTGTTATCTGTCTGTTATAGAAAATCAGAAATTCTCAAATTTACACAAATCAAATTAATTAATTATATATATGCACCACAGTTAAAAGGTTTATGTAGATCTGGCATTGCAAAGTCATGCTGACAAGTGTTGTATAGCCCAAATAGGCATCAGATCCCTATAATCTAGTTCCAATTAATTAGAAAACTTTTTTATTGCCCCCTCTATGAAAGTAGAGTGGCATTATGTTTTGCAGTCTATGTGTCAGTCTTGTTCATAAGTCTGTCTGGCCCGTATCAGGATAAAGTATTGATGTACGTAGTTGGTTGGCACATCAACTTGAAACTTTGTACACATGTTCATTATGAAGTGAACTGTTTAATATATATGCCAATAAAGCATAAGAGTTCATAGTTCACCTAGCATGGAAATAAGATAGTGTGAGTGGGGGATGGTGTCATGGATGCATATTCTTGTTTACAAATGCACCAATATCAAGATAATATTTATATATACATATATGTTAATATTAATTATTACACTTATGATGTTCCTTAGGAAAGGCTTTAGATTTTATCATTTTAGTGTGAAATATAGAAAATCTCATTATTGCATTCATGTAGCAATAGTACTGAGATTAACCTAAACAATTAATATAATCTTTATAAGTATTAGATATTTATATGGATCATGTTTTCTTTTTCAGCAAGAGATGACTACAGAATAAAGCTTGAATTAATGACAAAAGAATTCAATGACATCAAATATAAGGTTGGTTCTTTTTAGTATACTTATGTTAATTAAAAAAATAGTTGTAAAATTTAAAAAAAAATTATTGTTCACTATTTCTTCTCTTTATTATGTTTCTCTTTTTCCTGTGTAAAGCGTCACTATAACAACATATAGTGTAATTAGTTGGAGGTATAGATAAGTCCAATGAAAAGGTCCCTAGGGGATGACAGTTTATTAGAATGTTTATTGCTTATTGTTTAAGACATAATGAAGGAAATCCTGATGACTTTACCATCATTGGTAAAAAAATTGGTCCCAATCCTACTGTTAGAATGATTTTTTATCCTTTTTTATTGAAATTTATTTAAGTTTTATCATCTTTTAACCGAGAAATAACAATATTGTTTCAGAACACAGAGTTAACATCTATAGCTGAGGAAGCAAGAGGATTGAAGGATGAATTAGATGTTTTGCGTCATACATCAGAACAAGTTGTAAGTTATCTTCATAGGATTATCCAGTCCACACAGTTCACTACATCTTGGTCATTTTGACCTACACTTTACATTATGAAAGTTTGAGGTTTAGATGAATTTCTTTGATACCAAATGAAGTAATTCATAATATTCTACTACTACAATCTTGTATTATACATCACAATGATGATACAATTAAGGGACTACAACATTTATTTTATGCTGAAGTAGCCTCTTAGAGACATATTGTAACGGTTTAGGGGTAAGCTGTAGGTTTGTACATACAACTTTTTCGGGCTACTCAGTAAACATTCACCTCTCCTTTAATGTTTGTTGTTTACTGTCAGCCAACGCGTATATAAAAACATTGATGAACATTACATATACTTTTATTATTATTGTATGTAAATATTATTTGTAAGGTCTCTGGGAGTAATGATATAGAGTTTGTCTTCACTGTTTGACCAGGGGGGTCCCATGACTGAACGATGGTTCCCATCTTCTGTTTACCCTTATTTCACACATTCCGGCTTTATTACCTTGCTATTTTGTTTGCGTAAGGCCTGAATATTGTAACCGGGGGCCCATACTTGCTAAGAGTAAGCTTAGGGAAGTCCCGTTTGTCCATTTTCCGACTTGACTGAATGTCAACATTCCCAATTGCCGCCATTTGCATCAGTAGGTTTATTGACGTCAGTGACCTAATGATCTGAGATCAGCATCCAATCAGCATTACGTAATTTGCCCACATTCACCATAGGGGCACGAGACTTTGGTGGAACAGATGTATAAAAGCGAGTGCACATCATTTTCTAGGAGACTACGGCACGCTACCAGGGCGTTCACTCCTGATACCAAAGCAACCCAAATATGCCGCAGTCGATGCAACCCTTAAAATACATGTACCTTTGCTATTGTGCAGTTGAAGAGCGTACAAAAACCAAAAACTAAAGCAATTTGTGTCAAATTGGATAAGGCTGTCTATGCCTAGGCATTGACAAACCGTTAGTTAAATTCCAAATAATTTAAAAGTTTCTTTTGCGGGAAATTTTTCAGAGTATGACAACATCAATGATATTTTATGTCCACCCTAAAGTGTAACACTTATTTTTTTTTCAGACAAAATATGAAACAATGATTGAATCTTACAAGAAAAAACTAGGTAAGCTTACTTTGTGGAGGTTCTTTCATAAAAAGGTAAATGTCCTGTATTATTTCATCAGAAAAGTGAGGTAAGTAACTGGATTATTTCATCAGAAAAAGTGAGGTAAGTAACTGGATTATTTCATCAGAAAAGTGAGGTAAGTAACTGGATTATTTCATCAGAAAAGTGAGGTAAGTAACTGGATTATTTCATCAGAAAAAGTGAGGTAAGTAACTGTATTATTTCATCAGAAAGAGGGAGGTAAGTACTGGATTATTTCATCAGAAAAAGTGAGGTAAGTAACTGGATTATTTACCCATGTATGATTTTCTGTTATAAAATTATGAACATTGAGTTCAATAAATCACAAACATTACTCTACATTTAAACTCTCTGAAATGATACATTGTCCAAATTAGACCCATTCACATACAATTTTATCACAATTCTTTACAAAAATCTGTTATGAGAATCAAATATTTTTTTAATGAACAGATGAAATGGGAGATTTAAGAGTACAAGTGAAACTGTTAGAAGAGAAAAATACAAAATATATGCAGGAACAGCTAGAGATGGAAGAGGTAAATAACTAATTCTTATGTAATTCATTTGTAATGGCACTTTTAGTAAGACATTTATTTTGAGGGGATAAAATCCACTGTTTTCAAATGTGGTATGCAGTCCTTCATAAATTCATTTAACAAAAACATGTCAATTTGCACTAGACAGAATAATAATGTGGTTTAAAACATCTCAAATTGAGTTTAATTGTAACATATTAAAGAAACTCTATAACATATTTTTGTGAATGTAATATCTATGACAGACATAGACATTGCATTCACAAAAATATGTTATAGACTTTCTTTAATGTGTTACAATTAAACTCAATTTGAAACGGTCAAATCTTGAAAGGCATCGAAAAATATAAAAATACAATGCAGTTATTCCTTAATTTCATGCATGTTCATCGAACTCGTCTACCAGTGACACAGTATTCAACTATGAAATAAAGTTACTTCTGTTTTGTTAGTCATTCATTAAGTGGTATCAGTCATTACTTGCCAATATTTCACTTTAAACAAAAAAAATAACAGGAAAAAATATACCAGTAAAGCCAGTTCTAATAGGGCTTTACATTTCAGATTTTAGGTATGGTAAACTCAGAAGTTTTTGCTATCTTTTTATTGTTGCGAAAATTGCGACAGGATAGATATCACAAAATTAAGAACTTGCACATTCAACATTTTGATAGCATTATCGTATGTAGCATTTCATGCAGTAATTAATCTCATATTTTTTACCATTGTCCATCAATCAAAAAAAAATTCTGAATTTACAGTACTAATATTAATGATTATCAGAACTAAAAAATATAGTATATAGGTATTTTTTTCAAAAAAGAAATATGTCCCAAAATGATATTTTACAATAAATGTAATTATCTAAAACAAAATTAATTATTGAATTTATTACATACTTAATTTGACCATTTTTAGGAAATGAGAAAGTCTGGTTCAATGAAACAACAGTTTGATATGTACAAACGTCAGGTCCATGAGCTACAGAATAAGTTATATGATGAGACAAAGAGGGCTGATAAGTCTGACTTTGAAGCTAAGAGAGCTGTAGATAAAATGGCAACACTACAAAGAGAAAAAGAGGTAAACAGACATTGACTCTGGTATGGCAATAAACAGACATTGATTCTGGTATGGCAATACAGTGACAAATGGCTATTTGTGCAATTTAGTGGACCCTTTTTAACATGATTGAAATTAGTTATTCTGTTAAATTTGTTACTGTTTATTTAATGTGCGTAAACAAATTGAAAACAATTGTATAATCTAAACACACTCTCTTATTTGATCAGACTGGCTCATGTTACCATCAGATATATATATATGTAACACTCAGAAACGTGTCCATCCCCCCAAACGTGTCCATATGATGTCGTTTGAACTGCAAAACATGTCTAGTTGCTAAAGGGCGCCAAAACGTGTTTTGTTTATAAGCGCCCAATTGTGTCCATTTAATTCAAAAAAGGCCAAACGTGTCCAGTTTATATGAAACCGTAAAGTCTCCATTTTAAAAGCACAGAAACCACTTCTGCATGAAGCAAGTCGTACAATACCCTCATACATTATATAGACATTTAGGTATCATCGAAGAATATTAGTGCAATAGAATCCACTTAGTAAACAATTATTTAAACTGTACAAAACTAATAAATTGCAATGTGTATGTTTTTTTTTTAAATACGCATGACATATTTGCCACTGGACATTCAGCAATCAACATTCAATAGTTAATTATGTGTTGCAAATTTAGCTTGCAATTATACTTAATAAAAAATAACCGGCTTTGAACAAATTAATTCTAATAAATTACCACTTTATTAACAGTGAAGCACCGTGAAAATTTACAAGATAAAATATATTAAATGTTTAATTGTGAAATACCTCTATCTGAACTTTATATAAAACATTATTAAAACCGCTGCAAATAAAAAATAACTTTTCATTGTGGGATTCTTTTTTAACCTGGTGTCTATTTTTTTTTAAAGCAGATGTCACTGTGCACAGTGTAGCATGTCTTGAACATTTGTCTATACAGATTACTAAACTTTCCTTCAGATTTTTTTGGGTAGCTACCATTTGATTTTTTAAGAATTCAACCGAACCCGACGTCTTTTATCGTATCCCACGCCATTGAATTGCCGTACATGTTTTTGACTTCACGGAGATATTGACGCTAAGAGTTTTGAGACGTTGTGGCGTTTTTATCTGGACACGTTTTGGCGAATAACAATTATCGGACACGTTTGGGGATGTGAAATCGGACACGTTTTGGCGATTTATGATTTGAAGGACACGTTTGGGCGGAATAGACACGTTTGGGGGTATCGGACATGTTTGGGGGATGGACACGTTTGGGAGTGTTACATATATACTATCATTATCCAGGCAGAAATGTACAGTAATTACTAAATGTTGTTCTTTCTTTTCTCTACAGAGAATAGCAACAGAAAGAGATTCACTCAAAGAAATGAATGATGAGATGAAATGTACACAGCTACAGACATTAGAAGATAATGAACCAAATGATCTAACATCCACGCCCAGAGTGGAAATGTTATCCTTACCCCCTGATATTAAGTATGTTTGTGTCACAGTATCTTTGCTTTATAGTTTAACTAATGAATTGAATTCCTTTCATCAGTATTATGATATGTTAAACAGTAAACATATTGAAGGAACAGAACAAAAAAAGCAATGCTGTGAAAATAATTATCCAGAGGGATTTGTGAAAAGAAAATAACATTTTAAAAACATTATACTCACTCCAAATCCAAAGCATCTGTTGAAATCTTTGTTATTATTGCCTTCTGGTCAGTTCAATATTAATTATCACATAAAGTTGAAAACTTTATAAATCTTGATAAGTTATTAATAGAGGAGCTCTTTAGAGCTCTGAAAGTCACTATGTAGCTTGTCAACTCATGAAATAGACTACATTTCAGTGCTAAAACTGTGGAACACATTTAGGTACTGCAAGACACTTTTGCTTTAGACTATTTTAAGTCCATTGAAATAGGCATGAATGTTTATGTTGTGTTTGACTTAAGTGTTGTTATTGTCTTACTATTATTTTTGATATTATGAACAATTTAAAATTGATTAGAGTTGTTTTCCTTTCCTGAATCTTCTAATAAGTTGAGATGTAAAATAAGTGTTTGGATTCTGTAATTCTGTAGCATGAAATGGTCAGCTTCTGGGAGCTTAAGTGGCACCAAGAGTCTATTTGAATAACTGCCTCAATCATAACTAAGGCTTATTTGCAGTCTTGTCTCAGTGTGAAGTGGTTGCATTGTGCCTGAAACTGTTGTCTATTATTTTTACAGAGAGAAAATTTTACGATTAGAACATGAAAACAAGATGTTAAAATTGAGATCCAACAGTACTGATGGAAGTGAAAATGACCAAGTACTACAGTCAATGCTAGATGACACAAACTCTCGAAAAAATGAACTGGAAACAGAATTAAGGTTAGCAATTACTTTATAATCATAAAGTGTATTCAATATTACCAGTAGCCAATATATAAAAATGAATATAAGGTCTATTTATATAGGTCAGTCACTAAATTTAATGGTAATCTGGTAATCTAAATAAATGTGTGAATTTATTTATAAAAATTCATCATATTATATTATTTTATAATGATTTAAGAACTAAAATGTAATTTTTGGCATTAATGTTATATTCTTGCTTGTTAGGTTTTTACAAGGAACGCTTGCATTTCAACACCCTTTTGATGGGTATGTCTTTCACCTATTTAAACCTACTTCACCTATTTTTTCTTCTAAATTTTGGTGTGTTAATTGATGTTTTGTTTTGTTATTTTCTGTGGCTATATTTATTTTTCTGCTGGTAGAATTAATGAATGCATATTATACTCAGCTTTTCTGCTAGAAACAATGATTTATGGGTAAACATATTTGTACAAAAAGTTGTATTTATTATACCCCATCCTACAAAAGAGAGGCCAAATATACCAAAGGGATATTCAAACTCATAAGTCAGAAAAAAACAGTGTAGCAAATTTAATTGCTACGTTGTTCCTGACCTAGTACTTTTGAAATAATCAGTTATAAAAATTCTGAGAGAAAAATATTAGTTTTGATCAGTCAGTCCAATCCTCTTGGTTTCTGGATACTAAATCAAATAATTTATATTGAATTGCCACCTTACACGGATATATTGTCACATATAATGAGAGGAAGATCCCTATTAATTATGAGGTCACTACATCATAGATCAAGGTCATTTTTCCTTAAAATATGCCAAATTTAGTGTAGGAAAATGGTTTCCTGATACAGTTTTATTTTCTTACTTTTACCTGTGTTACAAAGGTGCAAAATTGAAATCAGGAGCTGTCAGGTTTTTAAACAGCTTCTGTAACAATCTTAATAGAACTTACCGTTTGCAGGAAAATTTGTGTTAGGAGTACTGTTAACTATTTTTCCAAATGTATCAGTTCAGGAGTGACAAGAGCTTTTTACAGCTTTTTATACATTAGGTTATTACTGTAATCAATATTGCCCAGGTAAAATAGCTTGCTTAAAGTGACATCACCTTAGATTTACAAGCTTTACCCCTCAGTAATTTTGGTTTCAAGATATTTTTTGTAATACAGCTGAAGAATTGAAGAAAATTGATAACCTACTATTTTGGTTGTAATACATCTCTTTTTATACGTCCGGCGTCGTCCGAAGACACATTGGTTTTCGCACTCTAACTTTAGTTTAAGTAAATGGATCTCCATGAAATTTTGCCATAAGGTTCAATACCATGAAAGGAAGGTTGGGATTGATTTTGGGGGTTATGGTACCAACAGTTAAGGAATTAGGGGCCAAAAAAGGGGCAAAACACAAGCATTTTTCTAGTTTCATGACAATAACTTGTGTGTAAGTGTATGGATCTCTCTGACATTGTACCACAAGGTTCCATATCACAAAGGGAAAGCTGGAATTGAGTTTGGGGGTAATTGCCCGAAACGTTTAGGAATTGGGGGCCAAAAAGTGGCCAAAAATAAGCATTTTTCTAGTTTCCAGACAATAACTTGTGTTCAAGTGTATGGATCTCTCTGAAATTGTACTGCAAGGTACCATACCACAAAGGGAAGGCTGAGATTGAGTTTGGGGGTGATGAATCATAAGGGGGCTCAAAAAATTTTGGGGGGGGATTTTTTTTTTTCTTTTTTTTTTCTTTTTTTCCTTTTTTTTTTCTTTTAAAATTTTCCATTTTAAGTTGGTTATTTCTGATTTATATTTAAAAGCAAATAATATTGATATGGTAGGAGATACACACCAAACAGGATGTGTAAATTATTATATAATAAGTATTGTGCAATAGCAAGAAATTTTCAATTGCACAGTATTGCACAATAGCAAGAAATCTTCAATTGCACAGTATTGCGCAATAGCAAGAAATCTTCAATTGCACAGTATTGCGCAATAGCAAGAAATATCCAATAGCACAATATTGCGCAATAGCAAGAAATTGTCAATTGTACAGTATTGCGCAATAGCAAGAAATAATCAATTGCACAGTATTGTGCAAAAGAAGATACTTCGTATAAATTGCTTATTTCTTGATCAATTTCAATGGGGTTTTATTCTTGAATTCTTGGGGTTCTTTAATATGCTGAATCTAACCGTGTATTAAGTTTTTGGATTTTGGGCCCCGTTTTTAAATTGGTCCACATTGAGGTCCAAAGGGTCCAAAATTTAACTTTGTTTGATTTCATCAAAAATTGAATTATTGGGGTTCTTTGATATGCCGAATCTAACCGTGTATTTAGATTCTTAATTTTTGGTTCTGTTTTCAAATTGGTCTACATAAAGGTCCAAAGGGTCCAAAATTAAACTTAGTTTGATTTCAACAAAAATTGAATATATGGGGTTCTTTGATATGCTGAATCTAACCATGTATTTAGATTTTTGATTATGGGCCCAGTTTTCAAGTTGGTCCAAATCGGGGTCCAAAATTAAACTTTGTTTGATTTCAACAAAAATTGAATATATGGGGTTCTTTGATATGCTGAATCTAACCATGTATTTAGATTTTTGATTATGGGCCCAGTTTTCAAGTTGGTCCAAATCGGGGTCCAAAATTAAACTTTGTTTGATTTCAACAAAAATTGAATATATAATAATAATAATAATAATAAATTCTTTATTTAAAGAGGGTAAACTCAGTTAGTTACAATAAACTAATCTTCCCTGAGGCCCTCACATACAAATTACAATACAATCAAAAAACAGATATTTACACATAGTTAATTTACAGTCAATTAGTTCAATGTAATATTACTAACATGATAAGATATAAGGCTGTTCAAGATGTACATGTAGTCAAAAAATCAAATACAAATATAAATAAAAGAATATACAAATACATTGTAGAAAACATAATCTTATCAGGACTGTGTTAAGTACTTCTTGATACTTTGTTTAAAAGTATAAGTGTTTTGAGCTTTACGCATTTTGTTTGGTAGTCCATTCCATAACACTGATCCAGAATAAACAAAAGATTTCTTAAATAGCTCAGCTTTTGGCTTAGGAACTATCAGATTACCTTGAGTGACGCCTCTCAGGGAGTAAGGATTATTATCTGATTTCAGTTTAAACTTTTGAACTAGGTACATTGGTGCTTCCATACGCATACATTTATATAGAAGTAAATATTTGTGGTATTTTATTCTATTGTCAACTGTCATCCACCCAAGTTCTTTAAATAAGGGGGCTGAGGGGGATAAAGGAACTGCATCTAGAATTAATCTTGCTGCCCTTTTTTGGAGTTTTAAAATTCTTGTTATCCCTTCATTTTTACATTCACCCCAAATAATACAGCAGTAGTCAATCAGGGGCAGAATATACCCATTGTAATATGTTTTCCTTGCATTTATATCTAAAAATTTCTTTATTTTAGAAAGGAGGTATATTCTGGATGATATATTAGCACAAACTTGGTCAATTTGATTTCTCCAGTTAAGTGTGCTGTCAATTTTAACACCTAATAATTTTTCACATGAAGAATTTTGTAATACTATTGAATCTATTATTAAGTTTGGTTGATAAGTCTGAATTGATAGTTTCTGCTTTGTTCCAGTAACCAAACATTTTGTTTTATTTGCATTAATGAACATGTTATTCATTTTGCACCACTCTTCAACCCTGTATAAATCTTCTTGAACATCATCATGTATATTTTCTATGTTTTTCCCTGATTTATGAAGAGTGGTGTCATCAGCATATAGGTCTGTTTCACAATTTTCAATGCATAAGGGAAGGTCGTTTATAAATAGCACAAACAATAGAGGACCAAGTATAGAACCTTGGGGGACACCAAATTTTACATGTTGTTGTTCAGAGTAAACATTACAAATGTTTACCTGCTGTTTTCTGTTATTCAGGTATGACTTGAAAAAACTAACAGTAGCCTCACTAAATCCATAAATTTTAAGCTTTAAACAAAGAATGTCATGATCTACCAAATCAAAAGCTTTTTTAAAATCTAATAAAATTGCTAGGTTTAAATTACCATCATTCATTTCTTGCAACCATTTGTCAATGATATTAATAAGTGCAGTTTGACAAGAATGCTGCGGCCTGAAACCAGATTGTGTAGGGTGTAAAAGTTTAAGTTATATGGGGTTCTTTGATATGCTGAATCTAACCATGTATTTAGATTTTTGATTGTTGGGCCCCGTTATCAACTTTGTCCACATTGAGATCAAAAGGGTCCAAAATTAAACTTTGTTTGATTTCATCAAAAATTGAATATATGGGGTTCTTTGATATGCTGAATCTAACCATGTATTTAGATTTTTGATTATGGGCCCAGTTTTCAAGTTGGTCCAAATCGGGGTCCAAAATTAAACTTTGTTTGATTTCAACAAAAATTGAATATATGGGGTTCTTTGATATGCTGAATCTAACCATGTATTTAGATTTTTGATTATGGGCCCAGTTTTCAAGTTGGTCCAAATCGGGGTCCAAAATTAAACTTTGTTTGATTTCAACAAAAATTGAATATATGGGGTTCTGTAATATGCTGAATCTAACCGTGTATTAAGTTTTTGGATTTTGGGCCCCGTTTTTAAATTGGTCCACATTGAAGTCCAAAGGGTCCAAAATTTAACTTTGTTTGATTTCATCAAAAATTGAATTATTGGGGTTCTTTGATATGCCGAATCTAACCGTGTATTTAGATTCTTAATTTTTGGTTCCCTTTTCAAATTGGTCTACATAAAGGTCCAAAGGGTCCAAAATTAAACTTAGTTTGATTTTAACAAAAATTGAATTTTTAGGGTTCTTTGATATGCTGAATCTAAACATGTATTTAGATTTTTGATTATGGGCCCAGTTTTCAAGTTGGTCCAAATTGGGGTCCAAAATTAAACTTTGTTTGATTTCAACAAAAATTGAATATATGGGTTCTTTGATATGCTGAATCTAACCATGTATTTAGATTTTTGATTTTTGGGCCCTGTTATCATTTTTGTCCACATTGAGATCAAAAGGGTCCAAAATTAAACTTTGTTTGATTTCATCAAAAATTGAATTCTTGGGGTTCTTTGATATGCTGAATCTAACCATGTATTTAGATTTTGGATATTGGACCATAATAGGTGAATGTCCAATTTAAAATTTTTAAGTTCTTAGACCACATTCATTCTGTGTCAGAAACCTATGCTGTGTCAAATATTTAATCACAATCCAAATTCAGAGCTGTATCAAGCTTGAATGTTGTGTCCATACTTGCCCCAACTGTTCAGGGTTCGACCTCTGCGGTCGTATCAAGCTGCGCCCTGCGGAGCATTTTATTGTTATATGCTTAACAGTATATTTTTTTTAAAAAGTCATGAGAGATATAGTTAAAAGCCAGAATGCTATGTAAAGATAAGTACCTTCAACCTTAGCTTACCTTCAAAGTGTCCATTGTCAGATACACACTTAATATCAAATATACAAATATGTCTGAAAAGTTTTAATTATTTCAGATTAATTAGTTATGTTTAAAATATATCATATAGACCTTGAATTTATTTTGGCAAGTTTTAAGTACTATAGATTTATTATTTTTCGTGGGATACCAATTTTTGTGGATTCGTTGGTAATTTTAAATGTTCAACGAAGTACACATTTTCTATACACTTATTCGTAGACTAAGGCAAATCCATGAAATCTAATATCCATGAATATAAAATTTGTCCTAAATCCAAGAATATTGTTACCCGTGAAATTAATGAATCCACAGTATTTTTCCAATATGGAATGTCTATTTATAGAATAGCCAACCAGAAAATAATGGAATTAGAAAGCCAAGTAGAGGACTTACAAGAAAATCAAAAGACAGTTTCTAATGAAGAGATAATTGTAATGAAGAAAAAGTTAAATGAACAGATTCAGAGGACCCAAGAAAAAGACAATCAGTTGACTAAAATAAAAACAGTTCAGGATGAACAAGATTCAAAACTTAGTGCTAACTTAGATAAAATACAAGAACTGCAAGATCAGTTACACAAAAAAGAGGACGAAATTAAATTGATGGAGGCAAAATATAAAAAATATCTAGACAAGGCTAGATGTGTAAGTATAAGTAGAAAGGTTGCTTTAACAATGTCTGGCTAAGATAAGACTCAAGTAAAAGATAATTTTAACCTTTTTATGCATTCTGTAACAATTATATGCCTATGGCAAGACACATTAAACAGAAAATCATATACGAAAAGACTGACAATTCTAATTCTATAGTAAAAATTTTCACACAATACACAAACTCTACTGTATTCATATTGATCATGCCTCTTCTTTTACAACCTCTATAAATAGCCAATGATCTAAGGAAATTTTAAACAGATATATCATGTCATGGAGGGGTATTTGCGTAAAATACCAGTCAAGGGACTGTGAAATTTCCCGAGCCGAAAGGCAAGGGAAATTTGGTCCCAAGACTGGTATTTTTCGCAAATACCCCTCCGTAACATGATATATCTGTTTAATTACACCGAATAGATTTTGATTGAAACTCTCTGTACAGGTGAAGGGAAATCTTTCTTTTTTTACTAGTAAGCTGTTATCCATAAACATGTTTATGCATGATTTTGAGGATAAGTAGCAAGGCTTCCAAAATGGTCATATATTCCAGACATTTGTATAATGTCCGGTAAAAGTCCAGCTGGGCAAAGCACGAAACGGTCATCTACTTTTTAGTTTTCAAGGCTTTCTTAAGAGATGGTCATTTTAACATAATTCGTGATCTTTTTGACCCAACCTTTTGCCTTTAACAGCCACACATTTCCGGTCATAAAAGTGACATGATCATTAAGTACTATCAAAACAACCCCTACTTTAATACCTTCTCATTTTAATCAAGGCTAATTAGTTGTCGAACAGCTGAAATTTACCTGTTCAGGTGACAGGTTTGCATCTAATTAATTTAGTCAAAAAGATTTAAATTATCAGAAATACATTTACAGATATGATTTGATGAAAAAATTAAAAAGGTGAAAATGAAAAATCGTCATAACCACGCTGTTTGAACCAGAGACATGTCTCTGTTTGAACTAGTACACGTGTGCGCATGTGCGCAGGTGTGAAATTTAATTATGCATCCTAATTTCTTCAAAAAATGCTTAAATTGTCATTGATACCTTTATCTCAAATATTTTCTTGAAGAAATAACGTAGAATGAGCTACTTACACTCATTCATGCTTTGCAAACGTACACGGAATTTACGTATCCGTCTCTGGTCAATGTTTTACCATTGTCAAAATAACATCCGGTATTAGATTTAAAAACGAAAGTAAAGTTTTTGACCATGTTATTTTGCACAAATAAAGAGTCTAAGGCAGATATAAGTACGCTGATGTTGCACACTTCGAATGATGCACTGCCAATTTAACAGTTTACGTCAGAACTTCGAATTTGAATCAAAGAAAGTTTAATATCGGTTTTTTTTTAATGTCAATCATTGGGATGGCCAACTCGGCAACTGATTACCATAATTGCCTTTTGTTTATTTAGTCTTAAGGGATTAAAATCGGGATAATATATAAAATGTCCGGCTGGCTAAAAATAATTTTGGAAGCCCTGATAAGTAGAGACTATCATAGTACTGTGGGAATTATACATGTACTTATATGCGTTAGCGCTGTCTTTATGTAACGTCATGGTATCTATGTGTAAACGTCATTGTCTTTCCATCATTAAATCGTTCATTTGTATAGACATCTTTTTCCACTTATATACACAACGCATTCTTCAATATACGATCACGAGATTGGTGCCGTGTAGTCGTGTTGTCTGACATTTTTGTTTACAGTTTTCGGATTACCTCTATCAATCAATATTGCTTAATCATGTTGCCTTAATAATCGGGATAAGGTGATAAAGGTTCCAAATAATTTTGGCGGGAAGAGGCTCGCAAAGGTAAAAAAGGAATATCCAAAATGGCAAATACCATGGCATAGAGGGGATTTTGAGGCATATTCACCGGCAGTGGTGAAAAAACAGGCAAATTCATTTGAAATGAGGAAAAAAGGTTAGAATATGCGAAAAATACACTGGCTACCAACCAATCAAAATCCGGAATTTTAATATAAGGTGTAATTAGATAATAAATTATGTTTCCATTTTAATGATTTTAGTGTCAGTAGTTTATGGGACTGAGGCTTAATTCATGAAAGAGAGAAAGTGTTTAGCTTTCAGGAACTCTATTCGTAAAAACGATTGCAATTTTTTTGGCAAATATTATATGATAGTTTTAGTTTACTAATTAATATTCATGGGGAAATTTTGGACAACGAAAGGATAAATCAAAGTAAGCTAAAGTAAGATTTTGATGGTTTTAACATTGTCATGCTTAAGTTATTTCATTTGTGATTTTTTTCCTTAAAATTTCCTTCTTTAACAAGAAGTTTGCCTTTTACTACTTATATGAGATGACTTAACTTTTATTGTTCCAAGTTGATGCACTTAATTTAGAATAATATGACTAGGAAGCAGGAATATTCTCCTGAATGTACTGACTATTCACTTATTGTCTTCAGCACATTGTGCCGTTGTGGACATGGTAATGATCTCAGTCCATCCTTCAGGTCAGCCAATATATCAAATACTCAGAGACCGTTTGACAGAAAGCTTTCATACTTGATAGGATTATTTGTCGTCATATTCTCTTGAACTTGCTTCTATATCTGTTTGATTTGACAATTTTTTTTGGTATTATAGGACTTTAACCATTTTTGTTTTTGGAGTATTTTAACAATGACACATTGTGAATGCAACTCCTCTGAGACTGTTGGACAGAAAACTCTGATACGTGATAGGATTTTTTGCCATCAAGTGTCATTGACCATTTTATACTGTTATTTTGATTTGACCATTTCTGTGGGAGTTATGAGACTTTGACCATATTTTGACAATCCTACCACACTGACACATTGTGACACTCCATTTATTTCCTCATTTATACAGTTACTGGGTACATTTCACTACAGCATAGCATTCTTGTTTTATTTAACCTAAGAAATGATTCATGTTATTACACAGAATACACCAATATGTATTTATGATTGTAGGTCTTAAAAACATTAGACCCTAGACAGAATGTAGACACTGCCCCTGAAGTTCAGGCTCTAAGGAATCAGCTCTCAGAAAAAGAGAAATATATAGAACATATGGAGGTAAGAATCCGTTACCTCTCTCAGAGTAAGCGAGCTTTAAGTATGGTTTTAAATCCATTGGTCAATAAACAGCTTGTTGTCAATCTGTTTGTTTACTTAACACAAGAAAACAACACAAATTTACTTTATATGAAAATACAGTCTTTGCAATGTTGAAATCAATTAATTAGTTTAGGACATGTAAATATTACTTTGTGATTTGTAGGCTAAATCAACTTAACAATCCATTGACATTCAGTATATATGACAGTTTTATTTAAGCTGACCTACAACAGGGATTTATGTAAGAATAAAAGAGATGTATGATATGCATTATATATAATGAAACAATAGCCCAACAACACAAACACAGAATCCAGAGGTTAACATATAGACAAGCATATCTTCAATATATCAGCTCTAAATTGCTAGCCAATTTGTGAATAAATATAACAGCCTACAAAAGATTTACCATCAACACCTTATTACCTCATTGGTAAAAACATTGATAACTAAAACTATCATCTGACTCTCAATTCCACATCAACATGTGGCAGGGTTGAACTAGTATATAGAGAACTCAACTCTCCTCCTTTTTAATCTTGATCAGTGAAATAACAAATTACATACATGTACAGTAAAAACTAAAAAGCTCTTACTAGTAACTCAATCTGAGAATGCTCACAATTACTGAGAGCAAGAACTGATATTTTATTTACAGGAAGAAAACAAGAAAGCCAGACTTATAAGAGAAGAAGAAGAGAAATATATGGTAGCTTCATGGTATAATTTAGTAAGTATGGTTAAAATTTCAGGTTATGAAAATAAACTAATTTGCCAAAGTGTGCTTTTTTTGTCTTGATTGCATTAAATGTCACAGAATGTGGGAAGTATGGATGCTAAAATCATGTGACAGTAATAAGCTATTTGTATAAACCTTTATATTTCTTAAGTGGAAGAAAAGATCATTTATATCTTGTATACATATATCTTATGATCTAAAGTTTTGCAAGTGTCCTTGGTCTCATTTTTATTCTTTTTAATGAATGCATAAAAACTATCTAGGTCTTTCTGATTATATTTTCATAATTTTAAAAGTTACGTCTTTAAAATCATTGTAAGGTGTATATTTCTAAATGACTTGGTTCACCTGACCTTCACTTCATCTTTATTGTCCATTGATCAATGTTTTGTTTTAATGATTAGAGTTCAGTTTCTCAAAGACTTTCAGTGTATCATTCAGTTAAAAGCAGTTAAGTAGCATGCCAACTTTAGTTTTAGTTTTTAACTTAAGTTATTTTATAGTTTTTATTTATACACTGAAAAAGATTATCTGTTTTGTATTAGGTATGAATAGTTTAAAAACAAAATAAACCCTCCTTTCTCCTTTTAACATCTATAAAGTGTACTTAATATCAATATTGTAATGTTGACAGTGACGTTTATTTTATTTGTAGGGCTTTCAATTGCACAGACAAGCAACTGAAGAGCGACTTAACAACAGTACCAATGGCATGTCCTTCTTAGCTCGCCAACGACAAATTAATTCACGGCGAACTCAGTCTATACCAAACGCTCACACTAATTCATCTCGGTGAAATTGTTTAGCCTTTTAATTACATGTGCAATCTTTTTATAACATACTATATTTATACCTCATAAGAGTCAAGGTCATATTTTTTGTTTTCCCTTAGGTCATTTAATTTTTCATTAAATAGAAGATACTTTGATAGTACCACAAAATGTGTTTGAACTTCCTGAAAACTGTAGTGTGAATCCAACAGCTTTCAGCAAAGATGACCAATGCTTAGATTTGTGTCATTAAATACTTTCAACAAATTACTATTAATAATATGAACATTAGGGCAACGTTTTATTTTTATCATGATAAACTTTATGTGTTTGAAAGTCACAGAGGACACTATAGTAATTTTGGTTGGTATAATCAAACATATTATACCATCGTAAGATTTTGTTTGGTATAATCAAACATATTATACCATCGTAAGATTTTGTTTTAAGATATTTACAAGTTGATAATGTCAAACATCATCTTTTATTTTAGTCCTAAATACTTTTCAAGGAAACATGAACTTTGAATGATATTGTGACAGTTTTTTACCCATAATTCATTTGTATGTTATCTGTTATGTGTGTCAGATTTTGCTGTGATTTGTTAGTAAATTGTTGTGAAAGGAAACAGTCAAAATGTCATTATACTGAAATTTTTCAATATTTCTCAAAATTCTTCAAATATTCATTTGGTTAAAATGAAATGAAACGGAGGGAGTTGTCTTTATATAGGTATCAGTGATAAAAAAAACCCCATTATAGTTAGCTCTAACCTGTTCCCAATAATTACTAAATATGTGAAGATATTCTTTTTCAACTTTGAAAAAAAGTAAATATTTTTATTCTATGGTATTGGTGTTTGTGATGTTTAAGTTCAAATATTATCTAATCCTTATTAGTTTTGTTTATATGTAAGTTCAGATATTTTTTTTAATCCGTAGTAGTCACGTGTTTATTCATATGTATCTAGAATCTTTCTTTATTATATCTTTTACAATATCTATATTTTGAACAACAATCCTAATCTTAAATTGTGTGGAAAGAGTTATATGATATAAATTCTTTTGATAAGCTTTGTGTTTTAAGTAAAAACTTAAGTTCCGTTATTGCCACTAGATGTAAATGAAAAGACAAGACACCTATTTTGAATACTCATTTTAGATTAGCAAAAGTTAAAGTATTAGCCAAGATATAAATAGAGATTTTTTATTAGTTTCTTCTTATTTTCAAAGTGTGTAATATATTTATAATGATATTCACTAACTGTGATTTGCATATTTGTGATATGGAAGAGAGATATATATAAGTATATGAAACTTCTACTGCCATCACTGTAAATAGATTTTCTCTAGTCATAAAATATCAAAATGGTTGTACAGACAAGGTATTGTGTTGTCCAAGTAGCATATTAATTAGATTTTTGCTGATATATATTTCTATATTAAACTTCAAAACAATTTTTTCAATTTTAAAATAAATATTTGTTGTAGTCAATTTATTCGTGCCAACTTTGCCTTGTTTACAAAAGCCATATGGGTATAACTTATAACTACAGAATACCATGCCTTTTAAGTATGCTAGGCAAAACCACCATTCGCACTTAAATACTTTCATTTTACATATTTTCATAGAAACTGGCATTTACTCTTTGAAAATGATTTTAATGCAACATCATAGATATATTTTTATCCATAAAGAAATCTTTATTATTTCAGATACTTTCTGTTATATAGTACATGTAGCAACCCGAATAAATTCTCAAATATTGTACATTTTTTCATACAAGTAGAAATTTCAGTGAAATCTGAAATTTATTAAGTATATCAAAAAAAGTTATGTTTTGATACTTTTAGAAACTTTTTTGAAAATGATGTAGCAAATTATTTTTTCAGTATTGAAACATTATTATGTTGTTTACATAAGGTCTGAATCTCGTGTAGTTGTATTTATTTTGTCATTTTGTATATACACATAGATCATATTCAACTTATAACAAACAGCTTATATTGTAAATAAGAAAAATGTACTTGCATTTATAACCAAATTACTTACACACTTATTAATATGAAAAAGAAAGCATTTGATCCAATTACTGACTGCATCATAAAGAGACTTTATTTAACCGATGCTAATAGTTATTTTACCCCACTAAGTGCAATGGAGTGTAAAGTAATTATAGTGTCATATAATCAACCTGTCCATTCACATTTTGTTTTAAGCAACTGCTCTAAAATCCAGTGACTTTATTGTTTAATAAATCTTTTAGAAAATATTCAGTACCTGTGTATTACTGGTATTTATTCTACAAATAATTTCGAGCATTTTCTTAGGCAAAGCGTTGACTTTTCAACATCTTATTAAATAAGGGAGTGGGGATATGACTCTCCTTAGGAGTGATTACCTGATTTTATAGTTATTGGGACAGTTGCATAAAAAAATCATGTACAATTGATATATAGCTCAAAACATCAAAATAAGTTCCAAAGAAGTCAAAAGAAACAGCATTTGCCTATTTACATTTCGAAGAGTATGTTTTTTTATGACCCAATTGGTTCATAGAAGTCAGTCGTTTGAATGCAATTCTCAACAATGTTAAATGAAAGTCACTAATGTTCTCATTCTAAAATATCATAGTCTGATTTTAAGAAGTCTTAATTTGTCATCCATGACACTTGCAAGAAAATAATATATTCTCATAATCATTATATTTCTTAGTTTAATACATTTTAAACACACTCTTTCAAATGCTACTTTGACAGTTTTTGTAGAAATATAACTTTTCTATCCAAAGATAACATTTATATACTGTAGATTATCTATTTCAAGGTTTTGAGAAAAAAATAAACCATATGTTTAAGATATTTCATTTGGTTAACTTACCGTTTGTTCCTGAAAATGCAATGAAAATATTTTTTTAGGAGTTATGTAAATGGTTTTGTTATACATGATATTTATGAAAAATGTGTATCCCAGTAATATTGATGGCATTATGATTATACCTTTTCTTTAATATTTTATTATAACGTAGAACATATATGCTCTTAAGGAAATTATAGTAACCAAACCAGTTTGATAGCAAATGAACATCATAAGCTGTAATATATGAAACGTATTGTATTTTTAAAAATTTATCTACATATGTTCAATAACAAATTGTGCTTCATCTGCATTTTGATGTGCTATATTCTTCTCACCTTTTAAATATGCTGCTTTCACTTGAAATGTCCAGTGCTTTGTAATATTATGAATGTATAAGGGGAGTGGTTATTGTTGACAGAGACCACAAAAGTAGAGGGTCAGGGACTCAGATTTCAATTTGGGAGGGACACTATCAATACCTACCCAATGAAAAATAACCAGGAAAGATAAGTGTAACTGTAGTACCTGTGGAACCCTCTTTCTGTTTGCTCACTAAATGGTAATACATCTCTGTGTTTCTGTGTTCAGGACATAGAAAGGGTATGTGTTTAACAAATTTTAGAATGCATTATTAATTGAATTACATTAATCCAAGTGAAGTTAGATGAATGTTTTCACAATAAATGGGAGAGGACTATTTTATATTGTATTTTATTACAAATGTGAATTGTTATAATAAACCAGTTTTATGAACAATACTTTGTTGCTATGGATTGGTCTGATCTTAATGAGTTGCAAGGTTGTCATTTCCTCTCCTGTAGACCAAACATATTAAAACCCATTTTTTATTTCAACATAATCCTAAGGATGACTTGAAACAATAGTGGCTATTTTGTTAAGCTCCTTTTAGTTGTATAACACCATGTATCCAATTATCTACAGGTCATAAGTTTTCACAAAGAAGAATATACCAGAAAAGATGTCAATACAGAAAATTCAGTATGATTTTACATTGTTTTATGATGGTAAGTTTCACTGCTGGTGGACCTACTCTTCCCAAGGTATCGTCAGCGAGTTGAGGAAATTACATTAGCTAGTCCTGTTGAATTCACTGTTCCCAAGGTTATCATCAGCTAGTGCTTGTGAAGTTCCTGAGAGTACTATTCGCTATTGTTGATGTTTTGCTGCTGAAGGTATCAGCCAGTGGTGATGGGCCAAATGATTCCAAGGTATCATTAGCTAGTGCTGGTGAACTCCCTCAGGGTACCATTTGCTACTGCGGTTGTTCCTCCCTAAGGTATCTTCAGCATGTGCTAGTGGGCCCAATGTTCCCTGAGGGTATTAGGAGCTATAGCGGATGGACTCAATGCTACCGAGGTTATCATCAGCTAACAATAATAACCTTACTTCTTGATCAATTTTCGCTGAGTCTGGTTTTATTCTTGTTTCAGATAAATGTTACCAACATAATTGACACACTCCATGAACAATTTGTCAGGTGAAAGTTTGAATCTGTTTTTTTTTTCTCAAATTCGCATGAAGACTTGCTGTAATATATCCATATGTTCCTCTTATGTACTGGAAAGAAATATTACATCGTCAAGAAAGATCAACCAAATGTTCGTATTAAAGTCTCCAATTATCTCTTCCATCATCTGCTGATACGCTACTGGACTGTTGGACAACCGAAGTGGCATACGATAAAATTTGTAGAATCCAATCGGACCAACGTTAAATGCAGTCCGCTTTTTTGTGTGACTTTTCTCTATCTCTATCTGATGATAACTGCTTTTCATATCAATGACCCTGAAGTATTTATTTCCTCTCAATGATTTTCTGCTTTTTTGTTTACATAAAACTACTTTGAAGACCATGGCGAATATGGTTTCCTTTTAACTCTGGCTGTAAGTGATTGTTAAAAATGATCTTTGGAACATTGAAGGTGGCATTCTCAAGCGGTTGTTTACATTGTTTTCTCTATAAAAGATTTCTGAGGATTCACCGAAGTAGTATGGCTAATATCAGATGCTGCAAAATGATAAAATAATTTTCTGGCTTTTCTCTGTTCTATATCTAATACATTTGTCAATTTCTGTTATCAATAACATACTGGTTAAACATATAGCTTTTTGTGTAAATATCGCTTAATTGTTACTGTGCTGTTTGGGGTTATCCTTTCCTTATTATCTTCTGCACCTCTGACTGAAGCTTTTCTGTTGTTACATTGTTTCTTTTCTCTCATAGTCATTCTACGAAAAGCGAGGTACCATGGTGCATGAATCCGTGGATTCTGTAAGAACTTTGATTTAACAAATCTCATCACAGATACCAAACGTTTATAATTTGGTACGCCAATCCGCGTTTCTTCTACATCAGACTTCGAGTGGTGCTCGAATCAAACGAGTTTAAAGGCCAAATCAAATCCTAGTACGAAGTTGAAGAGCATTAAAAACCGAAAATTCCAGAAAGTTGTGCCAAATACGTATACGGCAACTACACCCGGGGTAGAGACCGCGTTGGTATCTAAGTTATCTTTCATTGGTATTTACTGATCGAAACTACTTTAAAAGACCATTATTGATTAAATAAGAACACCATCGACATCTAAATTGGCTCTTATATTTACGGTCTTCTCTTCGGCTAGTTTGTGTAATTGTACTTCCCGAGGTCTCATTAGCTAGTGTCGGTGGCTTTTCCGAGAGTATCATCGGCTAGCACTGATGGACTTCTTGGTGTGTCTTGAGCTAATGCTGACGTATTTCCCGGGATCTTTCAACAAGCTAGTGCTTATGTACTTCCCGGGGGTTCTTCAGCTTTGTATGGTGGACTTCCCTAGGGTCTCTTCAGCTAGTGCTTGTATACTTCCTGGGTTCTCTTCATCTAGGTCTTGTAGACTTCCAAACTACCGGGTGTTGTCAGGTTGTGTTACGTACAGTATGATAAATTATAAGTTTAATTTTTTTCACACAAACACATATTCTTACTCATTCAGGCAAAGTTTATATTGATGTTAATAAATTTACCGATAAGGCCCATTTGGAAACATAACCCTCTTCCTTACTTTTTACTCTGAGCGGTTTTATTTTAGGTAAATGCGCTAAATGGCTTCAACAAACAGACAGATCATGTGAGTTTGGCTTGAATGCCTGGATACTACTTTTAAAGTTCCTTTATCTTTAAAAAATAATATACTGGTATTTGTAATGGTATGTACACAACATATCCTCGCTAGAATCGGGGGAAAGGCTACAGAGTAAACTAACTATTATCCAATAATGAGTCCTAGTCTACATAAATGTGTACAAAGAGGACTGAGGCACCCATATATGCAAGCCTGTTGTAAAATACAAAGATTATACAGTTCAACTATTCATTAAAAATGCTTCATCAAAGAGAGATAATGGTTAACACAAATACTGTTTCTGGTATTCAATTTATAAAAAAAAAGTGTTAGGATAAATCGTCGTGTACAGGAATTGAATATGACCATAAAGTGCGTTCTAACTCGCGTTTTGTCAGAGCCTTTTGTATACGAAACGCGCGTCTGGCGTACCAAATTACAAGCCTGATATCTTTGATGAGGTTTTGTTCCATGTCTCAAAACCGTAGTCTTTTTGAATAGTATTACTGTTCTGCAATCTATTGTTCGTTCTTTGGTTTCTTATACGTTGAGTTACTAGTGTTAGAGTGCCAACTCCCTGACATCCTCCAGTACTTCAGAAATACGTTGTTTTTCACTTGTTCCATTGATTGATAAAGTTTGATTTTGTAAGTTTTTATGGACCTCCCCAATTTAAATTGCCTTTGGGTTCGGTATTTTTGTTATACGTTATTAAACTAAACGTAGTTATGTTACAAGAATGCATAAAAGAGGGACGAAAGATACCAGAGGGACAGTCAAACTCATAGATCGAAAACAAACTGACAACGCCATGGCCAAAAATAAAAAGACAAACAGACAAATAATAGTACAGATGACACAACATAGAAAACTAAAGATTAAGCAACACGAACCCCACCAAAAACTGGGGGAGATCTTAGGTGCTCCGGAAGGGTAAGCAGATCCTGCTCCACATGTGGCACCCGTCGTGTTACTTATGTTATTACAAATCCGGTAAATAGTCTAACTCGGTAGACATAACATTAAAATATATTATACTAGTGCATACCTAGTTCTTTTACATTGAATTACATGCATCTGATAGCACCTTTATTATTTTCTAGTTAACAAAATCATTTACTACAATTATTAGACCACCAATATATTGCCAGATGAATAGTAAGATAACATTGGATTGCTTTGTGTTCCGTATGTAATCTTCATGCATCAGTTGGTATGTTTAAAAATGCAACGGATATATGCCTACACTTGTGTGATTTTCACGTTTGATTAACTTGTTCTATATAAAGAAGACCAAAAATTAAATAATAACGTCTTGTATTAGTGTCTCAAGCTTTTCTATTTATTGATATGCATATGAAGAACAACGTGAGCCTATTATATTTACTTTTTAAAGTTCAATGACAATTGTGGCACTTATAATGGAACGTAAATCAATGCGTTAGTATTGTTATATAGTTAGACTTTTATTGATCACGTATTTATTTTTACGCATTATGTTTTGAAAGGATAGTTTTTCATACCTTTTGAATGATTTGTACTGTTGAAAATTTTCCAAGTATGCAACACAGTCGTTGTATTTATTTAAATAGTTAGTTAAAAACATCGGTTGACATTTGATTTAGTGATTAAGCTGCTGACTTCACGGATGTGAATAATTCATTTTGGAATAATTTTGTTTGAACATGACATAATCACAGGATATGGAGTATAGAAGGGAGAATGGTATACTAGTAAGTGAAGAACCAGAAACTGACAGTGATGAAATCAAACGAATGGATAAATATCGCGTCTCAGATGAACAGTGGAAACTTATAGAGGAACGACTAAAAGGGGGTTCATCAAATAGAGAGAGATCAGGCTCTGAAAAAAGTAATTGTAAATTATCAAAATATAGAATTTCAGGTGAACAGTGGGATCACTTAGAAAAACGAATGAAATCCAATGGAATTGATCCTAGTCAACCATCGACACCTCTACGACAAGACAAGTCAGCTTCTACAAAACTGCACAATACATATGAACTTTTAGCAAGACATGATTCAAAAGACAGTGGTTACGCCAAACTTGATCATATGAGAAATGGAAGACACCCGCAAGATATTCCTGATTATGAAAAAGTAAAGAAATCACCTCATCCTAATCGCAAAGAAAGGTCAGTTCAAATTTATTATATCAACTTATATTAACCGTATAATTATATCAGTTATTTATTTACATACTTCCATGTTCGTTATGATGATGATGCGGGTTTTTAACGACATTGACTACCCATGAGGGTCTTGCACGGTCGGTATGATCGTTATGATCACGGATAACAATCCGCATATTTTTTCTCGAAGTATACAGACTATTTTTGTCGTTATGACTTATAACTTATAGACAATTATTGATATTTTACATTGGTAATGGTATGCTTTATCTATACATTAAAAATCTTGATTAACCAATATTATCGCATTTTTTTGCATTAAAAAAAGACAGACAACTGCGATCCCTCTTACTTATACGTTTAATTCTTACGTCATTTTTTGTCTCGTCTTGACGGAGTCAAAAAGCGAGACATAAATATGCTGTTTCCGGCGGCGGCGGCGTCAACAATGTATTAGTTTGTGATAAGGTCTAGTTCATGGTGAACAACTAGTGGTAGGTCAATGATATTTGGTATGCAGTTGTATTAGCATTGGCGCATCTCATTACCATGGAGATTATTTGGCCCCGCCCCCTCAGTCAAGGTCTATTGACTTTGAAACTTTGCTTAGTTTGCATGTATTAGTATGTGATTAGGTCAGTTTATGGGGAACCACTAGTGGTAGTTCAATGATATTTGGTATGCAGTTGTATAAGCATTGGCATATCTCATTTCCATGGAGATTATTTGGCCCCGTCCCCTCATTCAAGGTCTATTGACTTTGAAACTTTTGCTTAGTTTACATGTATTAGTTTGTGATTAGGTCAGTTTAAGGGGAACTGTAAGTGGTAGGTCAATTCTAATTGGTATGCTGTTGTATAAGCATTAGCACATCTCATTTCCATGGAAAATATTTGGTCCTTACCCCTCAGTCATGGTCTATTGACTTTGAAACTTTTGCTTAGTTTACATGTATTATTTTGTGATTAGGTCAGTTTAAGATGAACCACTAATGTTAAGTCAATGATATTCGGTATGCAAATGTATTGGCATTTGCAAGTTTCATTTCCATGGAGATTATATAACCCCACCCCCTAACTATGGTTCATTGACTTTGAAACTTTTACATAGTTTACAAGTTAGTGTTTGTGTTTAGGTTTGTTTAAAGGGAACGACTTATGAAAAGTCAATGGTATTTGGTTTGCAGTTGTATTAGCATTGACACGTCTCATTTCCATGGAGATTGTTTAGCCCTGTACCTTCAGTAATGGTTCATTGATTTTGAATATTTGCATAACTTACATGTTATAGTATTGCTATTTTAATTTCAACATTTGCATTATCAAAATAACAAATAGGCGAGACATATCTCTGTGTTAACAGTTTATTAGTATAAAGTATATTCTTTGAATCGTGAAATCACGGCCATGTGAGTTTTTGTATAAAATTTGTATTATCAAAATTCAGTTTGTGTCACTGATAAAGTACAAGTATATATCATACATAAATATAGTATTATAATACTACTTACAGAATAGGAACGCTTCCTCATTCTGGAACATCTTAGTTCCATTTATTTGGATTCCCATATACTTTGGTGTCGATCGTACCGTCCGAAGTTTATTCAGGTAAAACGTGTCGTGCGCGCGGAAACTATCTACCAATGTCTACATACCACCTCTGGTGTATTATCGCAGTTCGTATCATATGTTTATATGTTATACTTCTCGTTCATCTGTAACGGCTATTAATGAACTTTTTATATGTTAGTTTGATTAAAACTTTAAATCTATAACTTCTAAAATTCGTATGCCTCTCTCCTTGATTTGTAGGGCATACTACCCATGTTCTTTCTTTGTCCATTTCGTCATTCAGAAATCAATCAGTTGTGCGGATGTTTTTATATTGTGTCATAGGTCAACACATGGCCCCTCATAGATTTGTTGCATTGATAATTTCACGTTCAGAGAGATCTTGACACTTACCGTATATGAGGCAGCAGATTCAACGTCCCAATTCCTGCCTGACCTGGCTGAGTATTTTAGTTTTTTACATCATACAAACCCAAACGGACGCCCTCTTTTGCATGAAGAGCCTATATAACCCAGTGGTCTAAGTTCATCTACAGTGATCCATAGCCTATCAACTCTGATGTTTTGAGTTCTAGTCTTGCTCGTGGCGAGGTGTGTTCGACATCTATCTTAAGTGGTAGGAATTGCAAGTTTTCCTGCCGGTGTTCTCTAATAAATAAAACTGTGCGTTATGATATACTAGTCAAAAGTCGCCGTTAAATCGGCATAAAACACCAACTAACAAACCATTTTAGCATGAGTTTTACTACCGCATGGGAGAAGCCCAGGGATGACCAAATTTCTATCAACCCATGGGCTCAATATTTATGGAATTGGTAACTTTTGTGTGTAATGAACAAACAAATCAAAGTAATCAAAAGATTTAGTCTGCAGAAGACAAATCTTGTTCGAACAAACAATAATGGATAGAGTAACAATACGGTTTACTACCACCATTTTATATTGAGTAGAAGTTTTTTAATAGACATGCAAGTCTTATATGATTAGCTATACTAGTTTTTGCTTATTTTATTGTTGTCTGACGGTCTCAGGGCAATCCTTAAATTTTAACATAACAACCCAAAACTAATACCCAGGTATTTCCTTCTTTAAAGCGTTATTTTCTTTAATACAAGTAACAGTGTATGTTAAATGTATGTAACTTTTTGAAATAAAGTAGAAGCTAATTTCATTTTAAATGCTTGTTTTATGAGGTTTAAATTCGAATAATTGCGTAATGAATATCTGAGAAAAGATTTCTTCTAATGTTCAAAATGACTTAAATACGAAAATAGAAAATATAATGGCTATGCACTTTGATAAGTTATGAAATAAAAGAAAAATAGATTAATGGTCACATTCTTTGCATTTTTTGTCACATCAAAATATTTTTTTAAATTGGATAAAATCAGTTCATGTAAAAATTTGTATCTGATACGTTGTCAGGAACCAGAAATTACAAAACAATGATACATAGACGGTTTATGCCGCATGTTATAAAATAATCGCTGTGAATAAGGAGTAGAAATATTTCTAAATTCAGACAAAGCAGATTTGCTCATTTTAAACTGGAACTTAAATTCTGAATCACAATACTGTAAAAGGCATTATGAATAATTAGTTAATGACTAACAGGGTAAATCGACCTGTTTAAATGTTATAGAGAGATTTATTCTGACAAAGAAATATCAGGATCATTGAATTCTACAATCGGATCATCGATCATTATAGTAAACAATTTGTATTTAAAATTTGAATTATTTTCATTTAATTGGGTGAGAAAATGCCACATAAAAGGTAGGATTCTAAATTCTTACAATTTCATATTGAATAGTATGGATATATAGAGAAAAAGCAGAATTCTTGAAATCTAATTTAAGTGAAACTTGTATATTAAATAGAGGAGTGTCAAACGTTTGTTAAATGTATTTTTAAACCTTGTTTAATTAAAAAGTTTGTTGTCTAGTAAAAAAATAGACAACGATGAACTTTTCTATTGACAGATTTTTCAAGAATAATTGATTTTTTTTTTTTAATTAAGGTGTTTGTATATAAAGTTATCTTCGAGTAAGGGTAAAATGTGACGACAGTTAAACGATGCTTTTTGGGAATATCGCATTTCCTGGTATAGTTTTTATCTGTAAACTAACCGATTGTGTCTTATTCTCTATATTGTGCCTCGACTTTTTGATTGTGGGAGGGTTCGCATGGCGGTTGACACATGCATTGATGGAAGCTCTTACCCAGTCGACGTAACCGATCTTGCTCCGCTTGAAGTTCACATGATTTTGGATTTTTATTCTACGAGGTTTGAATATCGGTAAACTACTATTGCCTTTATTTAAGATGAGAAGATACCAAGAGGGCAATTGATAAAAAGTCAAAATAAAAAAAATAGACAACACCATGACCAAACGAAAAATGACGAAAAGACGAACAATTGTCCACAAAACACTACACAGAAAAAATAAAGATTGAGCGACAAGAACCCGACCAAAAACCAGGTGAAGTCAAGACCGTAAAGATAAGCAGTGAACAGAAAATATGGGATTGAAAACATCTCAGATACAGCACGCTTTTCAACGGGGTTATGGGTGCTTTGATAGGGTGAAAGTATCTCCTGCTACGTATCATTCATCTGTCATTTGACTACACAGTCATACAGGTGGCTCGGTCAGGAACCTCATAAAAACTGATAATAATGTCGGCCCAGTGGGGATAAATGATAGAGTTAACAAATAAGCGGTAATGATTATAACCATCAGCGTACAATTGTTTCTGTAATGGTTTGCACCGTCCAATAAGTTGGAGGCTTTAGTGATAATATCTTTACCGTTATCTGTTTTTTGACTTATGTTTTTATGGTTATTCTTTCAGTTCATTACAACAGAAGATTCAGCACAGAAAAGAGTTGTCACAGAGTATACAGTCTTTATCATCTGAAGGTAAGAATGTATTTATGAAAGGTTAGAATACGATTTTGAAATGTTTATATTAATATTTTGAAATTTCAAGCAAAGGAGGATTGATGATACGATCAAAAATTCGAATAAGCATTCTATACAGGAGGTCAATAAGTCAGAAAATAACAGCAAATGAAAAAGATTAATGATTTGAATGTTTTTGGATTGGAAAAAAATTCTTTTTTATCTGTATAGCCATAATCACGAAACCGACGATAGTTTCATAATTTTTTAAATGAAGAAAAGGAGATATAGGTTATAACCTAATGAGACAACCACCCATCGATAGTCGTTTGAAGGATAATGTGTAGTTAAATCAAAATATAATGAATTAGATTTACAGTATAGTTTAAGAAACTGAACAATTTGCGAAAATCGTCCTCAATACGCCTTAATCACCGACACCAGTAATGTTTATATATGGTTTACCTATTTTTTTGGGAAGTTAATCATGACACCTTTTCTTGTATTTCCAGCCATACAAGACCTCAAACCACTGACAATTCCTAAAGATGGAGACCTGCAAGGATTTTCTGTGGAAGAAATGTCAACTTTCTTTCGGTACATGCGTATTGAAGACAATATAGTGCAAAGGCTTAGCAAAAAAAATGTTGACGGTATTAAATTTTCCAAATTAAAGGATACAGACCTTGAGAATATAGGAATAAAAAATCCAATTGTCATGCACTTTAGAGACAGGAGCTGTAAAAAGCGAATTCCATTCATGTTATAATACATATTTATTAACTTAAGCGTTCTTTTTTCCATACAATCACTGTTATACCAGTCCGATTCAGAATATAAAATAAAATATGGAAATGCGGTATATTTGCCTATGAGACAACTATGCAACAGAGTCCAAATGAAGCAGATTTAAGCAACTGTATACTGTTCAAAGGAAACATCAAACATCAAAGAGTACGACAATACAATATGTGTCAATAGTGATGAAAACGACCCACTGCTGTTTCTTTGAATTAGAAGTGTAGTAAACATTACAAAGTGCTAAAAAGACAAAAACTATGGACCCCATGGATTTCTATGGTTACTGGCGCTATGGGACTATTCTGTTGGAGGAACAATAGTCCATCTTCTCTCAATTACAAACTCTTTTATAAGAAATATACATATAAGACCGAATCAAACAAGAATGACATAACACTGAAAACTGTTGTTATGGCTTTACTTCAACTTCAATTTTTTGATAAATGCGATAATATTCAAAATGAAGACCTTTAAAAGGACTAGTCCTTTGAATGAGGGGATGCGTGATCCTGAATTTCCAAATGATTTGTTTAAATTGTTACGTGTATCTTTTAAAATAATAATGTATTATATGATTACTTGACAGTAAAGCCCGATTAAAAAAAAACAACACGACAATGTCCAAAAATAACGTATCCATATTAGTTGTATTCTGCGTCCGGTCTCTACATTGTATTCTGGTTAATTGCACCCAATCTGATTCACCATAACAGTGATTGTCTACATGGTATTTAGCGATGAGACTAATGCCACATATTCCAAATACTTTGTTTTGATCGAATGAAAAACGACGGTTATTCATGTAGAGAAGGAAGTTCATATTTCCTTGATGTAAGTTTCCATTGTTAATTACACTTGCTTGCGTCTCTTTGTTCTAGTAGGAAAAGCCTTTGCGATTGTGTTATGGTGGTGTGTGTCTTTGTTATTGTGTGCTGGTTGGGTGTGTAATTGTGATTGTGTCTTGGTGGTGCTTGTCTGTTATTGTATGACGTAGAGATTAGTGCATCGCTTGTGATTATGTTGTGTTGGAGTTTATTATTTTGTTCTGGTGGTTGTGATGCATGTATTTTTTTATTTTGTTCTGGTGGTGTTTTTTTTTTATTGAGTTGTGGTGGTGTACGTCTTTGTGGTAAAATACCTTGCGATGCACTCTGGTGGTATATGTAATTTCTGGTGGTATATGTATTGGCGGTGTATGTCTATACATACAATTGTATTCTGGTGGTATATGTGTTGGGTGTTTTATGTTTTTTCGATTGTATTCTGGTGTTTACCTTAAATACAGTGTTTCCACTGCTCAGCTGGTTCCATCGTCAGGTGGATCCCCTCTCCTCGACTGTTTCGGCGTTGTCCACGACAATATCCAGGGGGTGCGCCGACTGAATTGATCAAGCTCAGCCATGAACCAGATAGCTCTTCTCTCATCCTCCATACCCAATCGTAAGCTTCCTCTGCCTGTCTCCCAACTTTTCCAACCAAGCTTCTTCTTACTGGTCCATTTAGTCCTAGGGACCCAAGGCTCTCCAAAAAGTTTGTGAAACAAAGCCTCTACAGCCTACCTCCACGGGAAAATACCATGTCCTCCACTTCTTGTTTTGGATGTCTCTTACCAATTCCTGGTACTTCGCAAGCTTTATCTCGTGGGTTTCTTGCAGTCTTGTTTACAATGGCACCGTTAGCTCTACAAGAATGACCTGTCTGCTGATTCTGGACCACAGCACAATGTCTGGTCGGAGGGTTGTTGTTAAAACTTCTCTTGGAAAGGTGGTCTTTTCCCCAACGTCGGCTTGCATCTCCCAGTCATTTGCTGTTGCTAGGATACCACTGGCTTTGCTGTATGTGTTTCTGGATGACTCTCCACCTCCTTTGATGAAGTTGATGAACTTTGGCCCCTTCTCTATCTTAGTCTTCTTTTTCCTCTGAGTGTCCAAGGCTGTTGCTATCTCTCGAAGGACTTGGTCATGGCGCCATGTATATCTTCCATCCTTCAGAGCTGTCCTGCAAGACGACAAAACATGTTCTAGATTTGCTGGCTTACCGCACAACTTACAACTAGGGTCTTCAATCAGTTTCCACATTGTAAGGTTTGTGGGTGTTGGTAGTACGTCGTATACTGATTTAAGTAGGAAGCTTATCTTCTGCCCGTCCACATCTCATGCCAGCTGATCTTTCTTGGTCTTGCCATCTCCCATTTCATATATTGCCCTTGTTGTTTCATACTGACGGCTCTTACTTGGTGATCTTCTTCTTCCCCACGACGAACTTCTTGCTGAACAAGTTCCCTTCTATGTCTTGCATCTGCTGACTGCAATAATGGTTGCTGAATGTTGTCACAACCAAGTCGTCCTGATGTTACCACTCCCACTATGTCTCTATGTCTTAATCGACTCTCTGCATCTTCAACAGCACTCCTAGCCACCCATTTCCGTCCTGTCCTGACATCAACATTTGCTTCTTTCACCTTGTCATCTTTACTGTCTCTTAACATGATAACTTGTCTGGTTTTGATGACTTTAAACTCCTCTGAAATAGAAGACAGTGGTAGTTGAAGTTTTGATCTGGTGCTGTACAAACCAATGCTGCTAAAATTCTTTGGAACCCCAAGCCATTTGCGTAAGTGTCTGTTGAACATCCTCTCTAAACTTTCAACTTTGTTCAGAGGTACTTCGTACATCAACAGAGGTCATGTGATTCTTGGTAATATTCCATGCTGATAGCACCATGCCTTGTACTTCCCAGGTAAACCAGACTTGTCAATAATGTCCATCCACTTTCCTGCCTGTGATACCATCTCATCTACACTTTCTCTGTCGTTCAAGAAGTCTAATAACCACTTGCCCAAGCTTTTGACTGGTTTCTCCATGATTGTTGGAATGATATCGCCTCCAATTCTGATCTTCTGTCCTGCACCTTTCCTTTCTTTAATATCAGACTCCTTGACCTTATAAGGCTTGAACTTCATGCGTGCCCAGTCTATAAGCTCACCCAAGTCTTGCAGCATCCACTTGCCTTCCAGAATTGACTTTGCTGTTATTGTCATACCATCCATGAATGCTCATGTTGGTGTCTGACTGACCCCAGATGACATAACTGGTCCTCTGCTCATCTTCTCTGCTGATTTTACTAGTAGATTCATTGCTGCTGAGAATAGAACTACTGATATGGTACATCCTGTAACTATGCCCACGTCTAGCCTTTGCCACGCTGTTGTGTAGACTGCAACTGTAAACCTCATCACAAAGTTGTTGCAATAGTGCTGAAGCATTTCTCTAACCTTGAAAGGTATGTGGTATTTCTTCAGGGTTAGGTTTACTAGCTTGTGTGGTATATTTCCGTGAGCTTTTGCCAGGACAGCCTTTGTTCTCTTTTGCTTACTGGATAATCTTTGTTAAAACGCGTGTATGTTCGAGGCACCCTGGTACTCATGGTACTCCACCTTTCTGAACTGAGATGTCAATATAGTTGTTCTCAAGCATACATGTTGTAACCCTCTTTGCCAAGATTGCCAGACAAACCTTTCCCTCAACGTTGAGAAGTGATATGGTTCTAAACTGTTTCAGTTCTTTAGAATCTTCCTCCTTTGGAATAAAACAACCATCTGATTTTAACCACTCATCTGGTAACCGATTTCTTCTCCATATCACTTTGATAAGTTTCCATAGTTGTTTTGCGAGGTTTGGACAGTTCTTATAAACTCTGTGTGGAATACCGTTTGGTCCTGGTGCTGATGCTGCTCTCGCTTTCTTTAAAATTGACATCACTTCATTAAGTTTGGGTTCCGACATATCAAACTCTATTGTTGGCTCATCTGGACTTATCAATCTGTGTTGGTCTCCAAGATCTTTTTCTCTGTCTGAATCACTGTGATTATCTCTCAAATATTGTTCAACCTCTTCTTTTGGGCAATCAAACCGGCCTGATCTTTTATTTCTAAGAAGTTTCTTTACAAAGCCAAATGGATTAGCTGTAAATTGTGATCTCTATCGTGCTCTTTCCCTCCGGTTCTATCTAAGGTTCTCTGCTCTCCTCAGCGTTTGTGTTCTTTCCCTGTTGACATCTCTTAGCTCTTTTAATGCCTTTTGTTCATGTACCTCTGCTTTCTTGTAGCACTTTGTTAAGTTGCGTTGTTCTCTCCTCAGTTTGGCAATTTCACGTACTCTTCTGTTCTCTTTCATGGTCTGACTTTTACCTTTTTTCTGTTCTTCAATTCCAAACCTGTCTTTCCCCATTGCGTTAATAATGGTACTCATTGCTTTTATCTTCTGTCTACATCTCCTGCCAATGCTGAATGTAACACTTTTGATTCATCCTCATCAAACTGGATCCATTCTTTCTTACAAGCTGATGTTGGCCACATAATCCGTAGCGTTGGTGGGTCTCCTTCTTTCCATTGATGTTTCTCTCCTTCCTGTTGACTGTTAAGATTCATTCCTAACTGATCATGAGCTTCGTCTTCTTCCGTGACTTCCTCCTCTTGTACATGGAGGTGTTGAACACTGTGGTGTGTTTCCTGGTTCATCTCCTCCTCCGTCTCATCAGGTTGCCCTTTGCGTCGTTCAAGAATTGGTGTCACTGAACAGCCAATCTGTGTGTGATGAATCTTGGGTCCTTTCTTATTCTTGCATATCTTTCTACAACTACAAACTCTAGATGTGTCCATTTCCTATCTCGTTGTCAGTTTTTCAGTTCCAGTTGTTTCCATTGTCCCTCCTGTTGGTCGTTCATCCTCCCCCGCTCTCGCACGACCATGGGGTGTCTAATTACGTATCTGTCCATAGCAATGCTCTAGGCTGTCCATTGCTGGAGATATACTTAGGTCTGCCAAACCGTTGTATGCCTTGCTACCGGTCTTGGCTGTTTTCTGTCTTTTCGATTGTATTCTGGTGGTATATGTATTGGCTGTCTTGTGTCTTTTCGATTTTATTCTGGTTGTATATGTTTTGGCGGTGTATGTCTATAAATACGATTTCATTCTGGTGGTATATGTATTGGCGGTGTATGTCTATAAATGCGATTGTATTCTGTTGGTATATGTATTGGCGGTGTATGTCTATAAATGCAATTGTATTCTGGTGGTATATGTATTTGTGATTATTCTCGGGTAGTATATGTCTTTTCAATTGCATTCAATATGTATTGGTTGTGAATATCCCTGCAATTAAATTCTTGTGGTAGATGTATTTATAGTTATGTTCTGGTGGTGTATATCATTGCAATTCATTATGGTTTAGATGTATGTATAATTGTGCTCTTTCATTTGTCTTTGTGATTGCATTCAGCTGGTTTATGTCTTGGTGATTGTAATCAGATGGTTTATGTCTTTGTTGTTGTAATCTGATGGTTTATGTCTTTGTAACTGTATTATGATGGTTTATGTCTGTTTGTGCTGGTGCTGTATGCTTTTGTGATTGGGTTTTGGTTGTGTTTGTCTCTGTACTGTCTTTGTGATTTTCATCTGGTTTGTTTGTCTTTGTGATGGTAATCTGCGGATACAAGTCCTTGCGATTGTCTTCGATGGTGTATGTCTTTGTGATTGTGTCCTTGCTTGGTTGTGTTTGTGGTTGTAATCCATGAACGCACGTATTTGTGATTGTTTTCCGATTATGTAATAGTATGTTTTGAGATTGTATTCTGATTGTGTAGTTCTTCTGTTGGTGTATGTTTATCAATTGTTTAGTGGTAGTTGTTTGCCTTTGTGTGTAGTCTCGATCTTGTTAAGTGTCATAATTTTCTACAACTTTTGATTTCTGTTGTAATATTGTAATTTTGGTGGTGTTCCATTATCTACACAAATTAACATAGTGCCTCTTTTCTGTGCTTCCTTACATGTGTTTACACTACACAGTTGACGACGAACATTTTCCAATTGTCGTAAACACAATCCCGTCCTCTTTTCCTCGAATGTGACATTACCGAATTTGGACATGCACATGGGTGCCAATGTGAAGCAGGATCTGCTTACCCTTCCGGATCACCTGAAATCAACCCCGGTTTTTGGTAAGGTTCGTGTTTGTTTTCTATGTTGTGTTTTGTAGACTGTTGTCTATTCGTCGTTTTTCGGGGTTTTTTTGCCATGGTGTTGTCATGTCTTCGAGTTATGAGTTTGAATATTCATTAGTTATCTTCTGTCTCTCTTTCTCTGTATATACACTAGGAATTACATTGTTCCCGAAGAAACAATCTTTATCGATAGTTCACTAGATTTTTGGTTTTGTTTCTTTTCATTTGGTACCAACTAAGGATTTTTGGTCGAGTCGAAAGGAACAAAAATAAAATTTAGCGTTTTAAATTTAGCTATACTAGATAATCAAATGGTTCATTATTCACATTTTAATAGATTGGAATTGACATCACTTCATTAAGTTTGGGTTCCGACATATCAAACTCTATTGTTGGCTCATCTGGACTTATAAATAGATTACATCACACACTGGGCACAATCAAAATTCTTATTTCTATAGTTGTATGTATGACTATATTTGTATGTATGTATCGGAATTCCCATGGGGACTAACTGTGCACCACTTATTGTGGACCTGTTTCTGTATTGTTATGAGTTACAATGCATGACTAAAATCAGCAAAGACCCATCGAAACAACATCTGATTCAAAAATTTAATAACACTTTTAGATATTTAGATGATATATTGGCTCTCAATAATGACGACTTCAGTATGTACACTAAAGAGATTTATCCTGCCGAACTGACTTTAAATAAAGCTAATACTAACAATGAACACTGCCCTTTCCTGGATCTTGATATCTTTATCTTTAACGGGAAACTTAATACCAAAATTTATGATAAAAGAGATGATTTTTCATTTCCTATTGTTAATTATCCATTTTTAGATGATGACGTTCCCTTGTCGCCATCTTATGGTGTTTATATAACTCAACTTGTTCGATTCGCTCGTGTATGTAACAACGTATTTGATTTCAACGAAAGAAATCTCTGTATTACTGAAAAATTATTACACCAGGGTTTTCGATATCACAAACTAGTCAAAACATTTACTAAATTTTATCATCGGTACAAGGACATCATTTGTAAATATAAATCAACATGCAGACATCTTATACGTTCAGGTATTTCACATCCATAGTTTATGGTAATATCTTTACAAAGCACAAAAATGTCGGCATTTACCTCAAAAGCTAACCAAACCTTGAAACAGACTTATTCGGAAATGATATAGTTACGATACTGTTGTCAAGTCATTAAGGATTGCATATTTTGGTATTAATATTGATTCACTCATAGGGTCTTTGCATCGGAAATAAACACATTAACTCTAAAACCAGTTGATGGCATGATACGGGTTATGTTCTTCTCATATATTTTATGATGGTATGATACTAAACCCCTAACGAGAGGGATTGTACTTGATTTTCATATGATGAAGACATAATCTTTCAATCAGTTTAATTGAAGTTTGGAGCTGGCATGTCAGTAACTGCTAGTAGTCCCTTGTTCATTTCTGTATCATTGTCATTTTGCTTAGTTTCTTTTGTTACCTATTCTGACATCGGACTCGGACTTCTTTTCAACTGAGTTTTACTGTGCGTATTGCTATGTGTTTCTTTTTTCTACATTGACTAGAGGTATAGAGGGAGGGTTGAGATCTCACAAAACATGTTTAACCCCGCCGCATTTTTGCGCCTGTCCCAAGTCAGGAGCCTCTGGCCTTTGTTAGTCTTGTATGTTTTTTTAATTTTAGTTCATTTATATGTTTTGGAGTTTAGTGTGACGTCCATTTTCACTGAACTAACACACGATTTTATTTAGGGGCCAGCTGAGGAGCACCTCCGGGTGCGGGATTTTCTCGCTGCATTGAAGACCCATTTGGTGGCCTTCGGCTGTTTTCTGCTCTTTGGTCGGGTTGTTGTCTCTTTGACATATTCCCCATTTCCATTCTCAATTTTATGGTATATCTTTACCTTCATTTTTTGTAGTAACCTTTCAAGTATAGAATATTTCATAAATATAACATTAAAAAGGGCGATGTCTATATGTTAAAACTGTATTCACGAGTTGTGAGCGTATACGTAACAACAAAAGCTTTGTTTTGAAAGACAAACTGGTGTCACCTGATAAGACTATAAACTTTTCAGCGTCTGACGATATCGTCTTTCATTATTTAGGATCAATGGTCCTATCTTACGGGACTACGAGACTTCTATGAACAGTAACTTTAATGACCGAGAACAACACATGAAATCCTTTTCTTTAATGTGTTTTGCAGTTTATCAGGGGAATATTGTATAATATTCATCCCAATCGTTTAATATTATAATATTCATCCCAATTGTATAACATACATATATGTAAGATATCTATTTAATATCTATTCATGGAATTTTTGACCAAAATTTAATTTAAATGAGAATAGGAAGTACTAAGATCAATGGTTTTTATGGATATTGAAGGTCAATGATTTTTTGTAAGCTTTGAATGGAAAGTTTAAGCAAATATTATGTTTCTTTATTGTTATGGATATGAATTGAAATAAGTAAAGAAGTGTCTATACATTCGACAAGAGAACAAGACCATGTTCACTCCCTGCGTACATTAAATGAATAACATTATTCAAATTCAGAATTGTTATTTGAACGTAAAGAATTAGTCATGCTAAGAATAATTGTCATAGAAGGGAAAATGGGAAAGTGAAGTATCGATTTCAAGTTTTTTATTTATGTTGAAATGGTTCATAAATTCTCCAATTTTTAATTGTTTTATAGTCATTTGATGATCGTTTGGAATGTAAAATCTGTATACAACTAATGGTTTGTGAAAAAGATATGAATGGCTGATATCGAAACATGAAAAATTCAAAACAAATGAATATATTTTAATCTATATTGATTTTATTGCAGATTTTGTGTTATTTGTTTCAATCGTCCATTCGTATTAGTATACATGTGTTTTAAATCAATCTTATCGGTATATCTTTTCTATCAATCAGCTTTTACTTGAATTCATATAAGAATAGGAGATGTGGTATGATTGTCAATGAAACAACGATCCTTTAAAAGGATCAGGATGTACACAACTCTTAACCAATCAGCTCATTCCGTATGGCTTCATTTTCGTTCATTTATAAGTGCAATATTTCTCGTTTTTTTTCAATTTTGTCTATTCATTTTGAATTTTTGTATACCACACAACAAAAGTTCGACCTTTTGCTTTATCAATCCCCTAACTGCTCCTAGAAGCTTTTGATATTGCATATATGTATATGCCAAGGTGTACATATTATCTTTGTTTTATGTCACTTTGTATATATAGAGAAACCGCATCGTTCAAAATAATCATTTGTCAATTTATATCCAATGGAATTTGATTAACTGTAAGGATTAGATAAAGACAACCTTCTGCGGTATTTAATATTTTCTATTCAAATATGATTACAATTTTCTGCACGCGATTCTTAAATTACCATGCGACATATATGTTAATTTTGAATTTATGATAAAAAGCTTTATTGAAATGTGTTTATAAAACATCGTTCAAATGGAAATTAAATTTAAATCAGTAAGAAACAGCGCTATGGTAATCGAAATTTAAAAAAGATCATGAACTGGTACAAAGATGTAAGGAATACCACAGCTAGATCGTTTTTCTATGACCGATTTTTAACTCATTCTTTGTCATTCTTCCGTGTACAAATATATTATTGACACCATCTGAATTTGTCATTTTATAATTAACAATAATAACTAGCAGGTAAACGGACAGGTAAAGTTACGCATGCTTAGACAGAGTTTAAATGATTATTATTTATTATAAACATCATGGCAGAGGAGGACGATGAGTTTGTCAGTAAATTTACGGATTTGTCAACACTACCAGTCAATGGTCATGGAGGACCAGACAGTGGATCATCACGACTGACTAACGGTCACGACTGGTAAGGCCAGTTTCTCACTTTATATGATTCGAACTTTTCTGAGCGACTCGTGGTTCCATCTTTAGATGCAATCCAATAAGCGAAACAGGACAATGATCTAATTATAACTTTTTTTAAAGTCATTTGCATTTCTAAAATAGCTTTTTCACTTAAATTAAAAGTACATAAGATGAGAAAGGAGAAAATTAAAGAAACAACAATCAGGGTTAGTTAAGAGAAACACAAATGTATGGACATTGGACACATGTCAACCAAATCAAACGAAAGAAAATTAAAAAAAAATAGCAACATGATATTGAGAAAAACCACAAAAACAAAACATAGCTTTATAAATAATGACAATAATACATAAATCATAAAAAAGAAAGAATGGAGTTTCGTACGATTTTATTTGTTTTGTTATCTTGCTTAACAAAATAATAGAAGATTATGAAGAAACTAATCATAACCATCAATGAGTTCTTTTCATTGATTATGAATTACTTTCATCAGTACCTAATTAGGACCCACTTTAATTGTTCTAAACTATTATATCGATCTCCTTACGTTAAGAGTAGGATTATTTTAAATCTAAGTTTCCTTGTATAACAAAATTCAATCTTTATAATCGACTTATATAGTCAGACAGTTTACTGGACATTGATTTGTTTAAACTTGACCAGCTTGATTTACATCTGACATGTTGTGTATGGCCTGGATTGTTCACAATGAGTGAGAAGCCTTACTGTTGTTGAAATGCAAAGCGGGGAGGTTTTATCTGAACTGCTCAACAGACAAACACAAGACATTCAAACTGTCCTTGTATTGTTTTCATACAAAGCAAATGTCTACATGACACATATCTATGTAGTATTAAATATCACAAGATTGTTTAGATTTTAAATTTCATTGAATATTTCCAGTTGACAGTAACATTTTACCTACTCCTACTTTGTATGCTTCATGTGTCTATTTATGAATGAAGATTTAGGCCTTTTATAGCTTATTAAAATTGTGAATATAGATTTAAATCACAATTAAAAACAAAATATTTGGATTGAATGATAAGACTAAGGATTACATTAGAAGTGGGTGTTTGGAATCTTACTATAAAGTATATATAGTATTGGCAATCATACCACATCTCCTTATTTTTATATAGTATAAACATTTCAAGGAATAATTTCGTTTACCTGGATCAGAGATACATTATTATGACAGGGGATTACAGGTATATTTATTTTTTTTCTTTACGTTATATGATAGAACTTATTTATATCTAATTTTTTTTTTAATTCTCACTTTTGTTGGGTTTTTTTTTATATTACGGAGGGACAAGATGCATCGGATAGAACAAATCTAAGTGTGTAATCTTTCATTCCAGTACTAGAGAACTTCCACCAGTGCCAAATGACTTTCGTCCATCACTTCCTGTTAATCCACCCAAGTTGATTCCGCCACGGATTAAAGTCAGCAGACCTCCATCAGGTAGATATACATAGTCTTTACTCCTTCAGGTAGATATACATAGTCTTTACTCCTTCAGGTAGACATACATAGTCTTTACTCCTTCAGGTAGATATACATAGTCTTTACTCCATCAGGTAGATATACATAGTCTTTACTACTTCAGGTAGATATACATAGTCTTTACTCCTTCAGGTAGACATACATAGTCTTTACTCCTTCAGGTAGATATACATAGTCTTTACTCCATCAGGTAGATATACATAGTCTTTACTACTTCAGGTAGATATACATAGTCTTTACTCCTTCAGGTAGATATACATAGTCTTTACTCCATCAGGTAGATAGATATACATAGTCTTTACTCCTTCAGGTAGATATACATAGTCTTTACTACTTCAGGTAGATATACATAGTCTTTACTCCTTCAGGTAGATATACATAGTCTTTACTCCTTCAGGTAGATATACATAGCCTTTACTACTTCAGGTAGATATACATAGTCTTTACTCCATCAGGTAGATATACATAGTCTTTACTCCATCAGGTAGATATACATAGCCTTTACTACTTCAGGTAGATATACATAGCCTTTACTACTTCAGGTAGATATACATAGTCTTTACTCCATCAGGTAGATATACATAGTCTTTACTCCTTCAGGTAGATATACATAGCCTTTACTACTTCAGGTAGATATACATAGCCTTTACTCCTTCAGGTAGATATACATAGTCTTTACTCCTTCAGGTAGATATACATAGTCTTTACTCCTTCTTCTCGATTTAGAGTCAGACTCGGGCACATCTCAACCAATGGTATAGATACATGCATAAATAAATTAAGCTACATAGTATAAAATATAAATAAGAATGCCAAGTAGAGACATAACGTTGTTTCACGAGAGATTCTAAGCATTTTTTAATCATTATAAAAAAATTGCTTAAGTTTTTAAGTTCAGATGGATTATTGGTTTTGATAAGATCTAAATATTTGGTCTGTTTACGAACTTGATAGTGCTTTTAAAACAATTTTCTACTTTCTTCCGTGGCTTGTACATACCAAAATATAATGAAACATGTCACTAAAAGTAACGAAAGTTCATAAAAAACAAGTACGTTTTTAGGTTTTCTCTCTGAATATTTTGCCATAAATACCGAGTTTAACAGGAATTCTCATGGTGGATTGATTGATTATTGGTGTTTTAACGCCACTTTCAACACCATTGGCTATATCGTGGCGGCCAGTTTTTATTGGTGGAGGGAGCCGGAGTGCCCGGAGAGAACCACCGATCTTTTGCTGGAAAACTGTCAAACCTATAAAGAAGATGAACTTCTAAGAGCACTCGGCCACCGAGGATCCGAATTCTCGTGATTCTGATGTTCAAAGTTCTAAACCTACAAAAAGTATAATCAATATTTTGTCATTGAAAAGGTTTCAAACTCATCTAGGCAATTTTTTATTAATCTCTAATTTAGAGCTTTTGGGGAGTTCTGTAAAATGTCTAAACTGACCATCTTAAATTTAACAGTATTATAGAACCAGTCACAACCAATCAAATAACTCAGTTATCCATATATTTGACGATCCAAACAGTCTTTCCTATTCTACATTGTTATTATAGATAACTATAGGTTGAAGAAAATAACAGAAAATGAAATGAAAAATTACACTTAATAAATGTCATGCGTCCGAAGTGCTATTTTGGATTAACCTTCACACTGAACGCTCAAACTCAAAACTCATACACTTGAAAGCCTATAGTATGTAAAATCACCGTTAGTAACCTTAGGAACCAAATGACCGAAAGGGACCTATAAAAAGAATAGCTAAATTCATTTAAGGTCAATTTTGCCTGAGATAGTTGGAACCTTTGCTACTGTTAAAATATTTTCTTAATTTGTCAACTGGAAATTTTAAAATAGTTTATAAATCATATCAGTAAAGAAGTACTGGCTACTGAGCGGATGATACCCTCGGGGACTAACTGTTCACCATTAGTTGTATCGGCCCAGTGCTAGAAAATAAGAAGAACACTTTATTAATTTTGCGCGTCTGAGGCGCTTTTCAGGATTTACCTTTACCAAAAACACACAAACCTAAAAAATTTGCTATATGACCAAAACGGACATATACAAAGAATAGAGTTAGAATTAAATTAATTGGAGATCAACTTTGCCTGAGGGAGTTGGAATCTAGTTTCTTTATATTTTTTTTTTTATTTTTCAACGGTGAATTTTCAGAAGTTTCTTTTATTTTATTTTCCGGTAACATATTTTGCCTAGTAATAAATAGTTCGTAATTTGATAAAATATAGCCAGAGGGTAATGACTATGTTCCCCATACATCATAAAGTTGGATGTGAATTTATTTTAAGATTAAGATTAAGTTTATAAATTTTTAGATGAATGCGTTCTAATACAGAGTTCTTACCCTTTTCCCAGATTCCACATTCACACAGCAATATCGGCTTCTCTATACAAAAGTAGAAATCCAAACAACTGTATAGTATGCACAATCAATCAGTCTGTATTTACAACCATGTAAACTGGTTTTTTGCTCTTTAGTTGAGATTTGACTCGGTCCAGATGATAGTATTCATTCTGATCATGAATTCCTCATAATAATTTTAAAGAATTAAAGCGAAACATCAAAAAAGCATGTAAACCGGCCAAATTTGATGAAAACATTCATGTTAAAAGTCAACAAAACAGAAGAATCGAAGGAAAGGTGAATAAGCAATAATCTCTATACACAAACATTATTATTTACTTTTTCAGAAATTTCCAAGTTTATCCCAGAACATGAGATAACCATTCCAAACGATGGGAACGTATCAAAGTTTACAGTTGAAGAACTCTTAACATTCCTCAAACATATGGGAGTTAGTGACAGAATTGTTAACCATTTAAGGAAGAAAAGTGTGGATGGTAAAAGATTTTCAAGACTTAGTGATTCAGAATTAGAAAATGTAGGGATCAAAAATCCCATAATAATATATTTTAGAGACAAAAGTAGTGCCAAGTCTAAAAAGTCAGCACCATTCATGTTGTAACTGATAAGTCCCATATAACATTCTCATATTTTCCATATACTTTTGTTTTGTTGTATGTCTCGTTACCTTGCATAACTCACATTTCGTATCTTATCCACAAATATGAATAATTTTTGAGTTTCCCATCTTAACGAAGATGATAATAATGACCAGTATTGATTATTACTCGTCTAAACCATGGTCAGGTCCATATTATTACTATATATATAGTGCCAACATGAACGACATGTAATCAGCATTTATTTATGTAAACGGGTAAACATTTTGTTTGTATTGAGACTGCGAACTTTGTGGTTTGAGAGGTCTTCTTTTCTTGGTTTTTTAAACCGACTTAAAAATAAATTGATCTGCATTTTATTTACAGCCATGATATGCATTGGGTTTATGAAAAGTTGAAAATATAATGATTTACAAAGAACTATTCAGGGATGTCTATATATTGTATATGCTTTTTTTTAATACAAATATTTATGAATTTGACTAGGTTACAAACTTGTTAGTAAATTTATCTTTCAGAGTAAACGAGAACATTTGAATGCACTTTTATCATAATAGTATATCATGGGACAAGTGGAAATTGAGCTAAGCAAGATTTGGGCCACCTTATTCTCATTTTGAAAACAATTGATCACTTTTTGTAGATCTTTTTAATTTAAAAAAAAGACATATTATCCATTCAAATTTCATTGTTAAAAAAAATTATCTTCAAATGTAACAATATTTCGTTATGAAATAACATTTCGGGATGTGTCTTGTTGGTTTTCATCGATGTCTATAAGTTGTACTAATAAACCGTGTCACAAAAAGCATTTGCCTATTAAAAGGACAAACATTTTACACGCAAATATAAGATATGCATTGTGTGGTTATTTGTATAGAATGTTCTTCTCCAACAAAGATACTTTGTATATGTCTTCAGTGGAAATTGACCTAGAAAACTGTAAAACGATATCAAACCTGTATTTAACACATGCAATAGTATCATAAAGAAACGTGTAATATTACACTACAGGTATAGACAAAATAGACGAGATTTCTTATTTAAATATGGGATCAAAAGTCAACAGTTTTATTTGAAAAAATCCCAGCCTCCTCCCCCTCACTGCCGGGTCAAACACTTATACAATGGCTGAAGTCTTTATATATAAAGATGCTTCTGTTTTATTTATCATAATCAAAACTTAATCAAACCAAAGATGTGTTCCACTCATATTCTTACATGAACATACTGCAAGTTCTGTTATGGTGCCATCATTTGAAAGTATTTTACATCAGCAATTAACTTATTATGCGATAGTTTCAAAACTGTACATATAACATGAAATGACAATATCGGACATTGTTATAATTATGCTGACATTATTATGATGAAATATTGTTGGTGAAAAATTTAAACTGTGAATCTCAACCATATTTTACGATACATATATAATTTCTACCGATTACATTTTTCACTTTGTAAATTTGTAATTTGGTTTTCGTTTATTATTATAAAATTGTTAACTTTGTCATTGTATAACATGTGATGTTATTTTTATATTTAAGATATGCATTTACAATGTATTTATTATTGTTTAAAATTATTATATTAAAACATGATTTATATTACTTTTCTACTATTGTCAACGAAATATAGTGTATCGTGTAAGGTTGTAATTTTACAGGGAATCACTATTTGTCAAAGAGGGGACATGGTATTTTATGTAATAATCCCTACATGCACTAACAAAGCTTAAAGCAAATGACAGTGTCTTTTTGTTTATTTGTTGGGTTTTTTTGCTGTTCGTCGTCTCAAATTCAAAGGAAGGCCTTTAACACGAATCAAAATTTCACACCTCGCATCAAGGTGAAGACGGACCCTTTCACCCGTTGTCTGTTTAGACTGTAGATGTCGATATCTCTACACCAGTTTAGACTGTAGATGTCGATATCTCTACACCATCTTTAGACTGTAGATGTCGATATCTCTACACCATCTTTAGACTGTAGATGTAGATATCTCTACACCATCTTTAGACTGTAGATGTCGATATCTCTACACCAGTTTAGACTGTAGATGTCGATATCTCTACACCATCTTTAGACTGTAGATGTCGATGTCGATATCTCTACACCATCTTTAGACTGTAGACGTCGATATCTCTACACCAGTTTAGACTGTAGATGTCGATATCTCTACACCATCTTTAAACTGTAGATGTCGATATCTCTACACCATCTTTAGACTGTAGATGTCGATATCTCTACACCATCTTTAGACTGTAGATGTAGATATCTCTACACCAGTTTAGACTGTAGATGTCGATATCTCTACACCATCTTTAGACTGTAGATGTCGATATCTCTACACCATCTTTAGACTGTAGATGTCGATATCTCTACACCAGTCCTGTGCATTGAAGACTGACACAGAGTATAATCAACAGATTACAGACTATAACCAAATCATAATTACCCCGATTATCTAATTCTAAAATGCAGAAGTTATACAAATATTTAGAGAACCACAGGGCACATGAAAATGCTGCCACATAACATGATAGATTTGGACGAACTGCATGCATATAATAATTTCGATGAACACACAGACCGAAAGATAATAAGTAAAGTAGGAAACAAAACTGTCAAGAGAAGTTATTTCGGAATAATAAATACGCAATAACTGTCAAAATATCTTTATAAGGCCTCATGACACAAAATCTCTACATGCACTTAATAAAGCCCAACACAATGGAACGTGCTATTATTGCTGTTCTTTATTTCAGTGCCACAGTGAACCTTTCAACACGGTCGAGCATTATTGCAGGATTGAAGATGGTTTGAGACAAAATCTTTGATAGATATCGATAATCTTAAACATGTGAGGACTGTCACATACATTTACGATTGAAACATGGATCACAAGCCATCGCATAAATTTACGATACGATCATGGTTAATAAGACATCGCATAAATTTACGATACGATCATGGTTAATAAGACATCGCATAAATCGACGATTTAAGCATGAATAACAAGTTAACGCATAAATTGACGATCAATTCATAGAATAAATTAACGACTCAAATTATCGGATGAATTAAAAATCCAAACATAGATGAAAGGAAATGGATATATCATATGACGGGTGATGCATATGCTAGCCGGGGAATCTTTCCCAGTCGAGGTACATTTCAATTAACATCGGTAGTACCAACTCATATTTTCCTGGCATTGAAGAATCGTTTTCTGTGTATAATAATTAGTACTCGGCAACACACATATTTGTATCAATCTAAGGTAAATGATAAATAAAACGTTTGGCATACAATGGATTTTCACTGAATCAGAATCGTTGGTAGGTAGGTAGCGCACTTGGCAACCCACGATTATCAAGGTAAATAAACTCCTCAATTAATTTATTTCATTCACACATTCGTCGACAGGTCATTGCATGTATCTTTCGTCGTCAAACATGAACACATACTATATTGAGCTAATAAACATCGAGTAAATGATAGAGATACAGACAAAAGACGGACTAGTCTATACGTATCATTCAGTGCCTAATGGTTGACTTTGTATATGTCTTTAAGTTTCGTTCTTTAAAGAATACATTCACAACTTAACTAGACTCTAGCCGGTTTAGAGACACTTGTCTAGTCTAGCCGGTTTAGAGAGAAATGTCTATGGTTAGAGACTGTATGTTGAACTATATATATGCCTATTTTGTTTTGTTTTGTTGTGTATGCTTTGTTGGGTATGCTTTACATTTCATTGTACCGTACAAACATATAAACTTAAAATCACCATCGCACCGACGACTTTTTTTTGCGTATGTATGTGTAGGAGGGGGAGAGAGTGGTAACCTGGATTTTTTTTTATATCGGACATTTTTTTGTCAACTTAAATAACCTTTTCCCGTAGCATTCAGGAACAAGACATTAGTTTTCAAACTTATCAATGAGAGAAACTTCTGCCCCACTCCCCCCCCCCCCCCCCCCCCCCCCCTCACACACACACACAAGATGAATGGTCAGTGCCTTATACGAACATGATTAAGTATATTCATAGATGAAAAAGAAAACAAAACATCTGGTAATCCCTATAACTAAATATTTAAATAGGGTTCTAATAATGATATTTTCTGATAACTATAAGAGAAAATTTTAAAGTTTCAATCCTTTAATTCTGGTCATTACAGTCATTTGAATTATCTGTTCATTGATAATTTTGTGTAACATATTTAACCTTTGGTCATTTGTGTAACATTTATGACCCATGGCAAATCATTATGTCAAAATAGATTTGAAATTTTGCCATATGATAGATGTATACAGCTAATATTCTCACTTCTACAACGTGTAAACCGATGTTATAATAATTACTTCATGTCTTACAAATCTCAGAATCATTATTGTGCATATTACAAACACCTGTTGTCAAGGAGACAAAAATTAGCAAAATACTAACTAACATCTGAAAGTGATGAGTCCATCAATACAAACGTCAAAATGATTAAAACATCTATGTCTGAATACGACTTCAACGCATTTTCTTTTCACAGAATAGTTTCTGTGATGCACGCGAATCCGTCATCATCACTGAATAAGTCACATTAAGATGACATGGGAGATAACTGTAATAGAATAGCGGGCGACGTTTACCTTGATAAATGCGATATCTGAAAAATAATTTAAATATTATTATCGCCAGGTAAAAACAAAAAAAATGGCGGATCATAATGAAAGGACTATTAACAGGACAGTTTTTACGCTGAAGGATTTCACGGAATGTTACACACCTCCAAAGACGTTCAAAGTTTTAGGGGGACGTGGATTATACAGTAACGCCCATACCACCGCTCTCCGTGTAGGTGACTCGTTATATCTACATACTTTAGCGGTTGAGTGGATTTGTTTGTCATTTTTTGACACAGACACAGGTATACGACGTGAGGTAAAGGTCCCTCCAGACAGTCAGATCAAGTTTAATATCGTACATAGATCACAAGAAGCTTTTCAAAGGATTTACACTACAGTAAGTGAACTATTAGAGGCCTGGCCGACAAGATTTCAAGCTAACTATGGACGTGAGGATCCATATCTTCCTCAAATATTCAGGAAAGGTGAACGGTTTAGATTCATCAGGAGAGCTCAGAATCCAAACGATAGGAAACTGTGTCTAGAATGTGAGGATGAATCTGGCCATATTTTGACGTTACCCAGTAATTGTAGAGGAGATTTCACTGTACTGGATGATCCAAAGTCTTATAATCTGCAGGAAATTGTAGCATTTGGGGATACGGAAAGGACATTAAAATTTTCAGAGGAAAATATTCAGTTAATCGCTGTTGATAACGATGAAAGTTCCTTCTATACAAATGTAGGCAATAATGGAGAAATATTGACCAAGCTAACAGGACTACCTCTTACTTACAAAGGTCTGATTACTATGCGCAAACCTAATTTCTTTGTCATTGTTTCACCACAAGATAATCACGATATAAAGTGGAAAATTTCACTCGAAGAAGAAGTAGAAGTGATGGATCAGCTAGACGATTTTTTACCATCAACCAGAGACATGTCTCTGAATGATTTCATAGACAATTTCGAACTAGACCTTCCTGTTATTGCAAGAATCTCTAATTACGGCAATAAAATATCCCATTTCCAAGATCATCTCTCTCCTGGAACAGAAGTCATTGTCCATCGTATTGATAAAGATGTTGATAGAGTTCTTGCAAGTACCAAATGTGATATATTTAGTTTAGGAAGTGACGTTAAAGGTAAATTTGACAAATGTAGCAGACGTTTTAAATCAGTTCAAACAGTTTTAGATACACGGGAAAAGATCAAACTTAAAGTTACCGAAGCAATAGCATGTGATGTTCCAGAACCTTTCTGTTTAAAATGTGGCGACATTCTAAAATGTACAAATTTTAACATACAAAACGTGAAAATAAGATATGGTAAAAAAGTATATGGTGAATGTCAAGTTGTTCAGTGGGACATTTTAGATGACACTGGTGCACGTGCAATAATTAAACTACCTGCAGATCTTGAAGTGACGTTGCAAGAAATTGCAGAAGATGATGGTTTTGAGGTGTCAAACATTTTACAGTATCGCGTTGAAGTGCCTATGGACGCCTTTTCATTAGAAAGTGATAGCTTTTTACCATATAATCAAAGTATCCGTTTCGAGCATTACGTTTCTGATCCTCTTGTACTTATTTCACCTATACCTCGCAACTCTGATACAAAACACTCATGTCTCGATGCCAAAATTGACCTTTGTTTAATGGTGCCTTTACGTCATGACTTGACATTACATCTCAGAGAACGGTTACATTTCCCTCCTAGTTACTTCATCTTACCGAGACGGGCGAAATGGCTATCAACGGGACCAGAGAAAATATCACTCGAAACATACAACAATTTAATGAAATTTAATGATCAAGCTTACGAAGATTATGAATGCAAAGATGAAAATGTTGATACTGCCTCGGGAAATACAAATTTTGTGAACA